ATTACCTTTACTTTTTCTTATTTTATTAAAATACCTTTATTAAATACTATAAAACCTAGGAAGCTAATAGACTTAGTATAAAAAAAGTACTTCTTAGGGTTAATATATAGCCCTATAGTATTTAACTAGCTTAGTATTATTTTTACTACCTTTATATAGCTTTCTTTATCCTTTATAAAGATTAAAATATTATTTAAATAAATAATATAAATAATATTTACTAGACTTACTAAGGTATTATTAATATAAGATTAGAATATTATAGGTATATTAACTAGCCTAAAAGGTATAACCTAATACTTATAGTGTTTATAGTAGGTATAAAAGGCTATCTTTTATTTATTTTTACTATAAATCTTTACTTAGTAGTATATATTCTTAAGGTCTAGCTTTATAAATTATATTACTTTTACTAAATAGTCTAAGATTTTCTTTATTAAAGGTAATAGTACTTAGTTCTTAATAGTAATCTTATTAAGCCTATAGTAGTTAATATAGAGGTAAAGCTTACCTTTTTTCTTAAGTATAAATAAGATTAGTGCCTCTACTAGTAACTTTAAAGGCTATATTTAGCCTTTAGCTAAGGATTTATTAATATACTTCTTTAGCTCTTTTAGTTCTTTTTCTACTAGTAAGTAAATAAGGCTAAATAGTAGTATTATACCTAGTTTTAATTTTATTATATATATTTATATATTATTTTTACTAGTTTTACTACTAGGTCTATATTAAATATATAAGCTTATTCTCTATATTCTTTTAGTATTATAGCCTTTATACTACTAGCCTTACTAGCCCCTTTATTCTTCTTTAGTATATAAGTAAGTATCTTTAGTACCTCCTCTAGTGTTCTATACCCTAGGTATTAGATTATAAAAAGGTCTATAAGGACTACCTTAGTATTTTTTAAGGCCTTTTTAACTACCTTTTAGCCTTATATAAGTTAAATATAGTTTTACTTAGTAAATAAGTCTAGCTAATTATTTTTTATTTAAGGTTAAGTTTTACTACTTATCTCTAAGAGATCCTTAGGATAATATTATATCCTCTTATATTACTTACTTATAAAGTATAGCTTTATATCTTTAATATTTTAATATTATCTTTTACTTTTAACACTATTTTTTTAAACTATAGTCTAAGGCTTTACTTCTCTATATACTCTATAGTAGTAGTTTCTTTTTATAGACTACTAGTAGCCTCCTTATATATAATATCCTCTAGTATATAAGGTTTTTATTTACCTCTAGGTTAATTAATACTCTTTTTTTTCTTTATATACTACTTATCTTAGTATAAAAGTCTACCTTAAATTAGTAGTATAGCTTTTTTTCTAAGGTAATTAAATAGTATTAACCTTTATTACTTTATTATATACTATTTACTTAAGTATCTAGGTTAACTATACTTATAGTACTTTTTTTTAGTATAATTAGCTAATAAATACCTTAGCTTACTATAGTTAAAGTAAGTTAAAGAGTACTATAGCCTAGTTAAAAGTAAGTAGTTACTTTTTTTCTTTTTTACTCTTAAGGCCTCTAGTATTAGTATTAATATACTCTAGGTTATTATAAGTATAAATATAAAGTATATAAACTAAGGCTTTATTATAAGGACCCTTATATTAAGGCTTAGTAGTATAGCTAAGGCCTACTAGTCTCTTTATTCTTAATTTTACCTCTACTAGTCTACTAGTTTATCTTTAGTATAGGCTTTAGCTAGTGTTTTAGCCTATTATATAGTATTATTAAAGGCTTATTATATCTTTAGTATTCTTTAGGCTAATATATAGCTCTTTAGATTAGGTAGTAACTAGTTAAGTATATAAACTACTTATTACCTTTTAGCTTATAAATTAAAGTACTTTACTTTAATAGTCTTATATTTATTAATAAATTACTAGTATAACTAGTTAACTTTTTACTTTATATTATTAAGCTTTACTACTATACTAAAGGCCTATATATTAGTATTAGTAATATTATTTTTTAACTAGGTCTTTATTACTTCTTAGGTTACTTTCTTTATTTAGCTATTATAGTAGGCTTTAATATACTTTTACTACTTATATACTAGGTTACTCTCTAGTATAAAGCTAGTATACTATACTTTACTTTAGTTATTTTTAAATTCTTTTTTTATAACTTTAAACTATTTCTTTAACTTAAATAAAAAGTCCTAAAGGTTATTTTATATACTTCTCTTATATTAGTTTAAAAGTAACTACTTTAATAGTATATTAATATAGTAGTACTTATACTTTAGCTAAAAAGTAGTAGCTAGGCCTAGTATATTATATACTTTCTTAATAAAGGCTTTATTTATTAAAGCTAAAATCTAGTTAACTATTTTTCTTTTTTTAGTTTTTTTTACTTACTTCTTTAGAAGGTTCTTAAGCTTTTTTTTTATTATTTTTTTAAAGTTACTTTAAAGCTAATATTATACTAGTAGGCCTTTATTCTTTATTTATACCTAAGTATTACTACTATTTAAGGTTAATTATCTAAAGATAATACTTATACTTTACTAAGTAATAGCTTAGGTATTAAGAGGTAATATTATAGCTCTAATAGTTAGTATACCTAAGGATAAGTAAAGATTAAAATATATTAAAGGGGTTATAGTATTAAGTAAAGGAGTTTATAAATAGTATAGTTAGGGGTTAATTATAACTATTTTTTAATTTACCTTCTCCTAATTCTCCTGTTCTTATAAACTCTGCTTTTATATAACCCTTAGATAATAGTTTTCCTAGTTGTAGCCCTACAGCTGGTGGTCCCCTGGTGCCCCCTACCTCTGGCACCTGACACTCTGGCTCACGTTTGCGGGCTTGAAGACCGAAGGTAGGTTTCTGCTAGCTCTATTAGCATTATTGTATGATGCCTAAGCTAGTCGCTGAAATGAAACGTAGGTCGTACGTTCAGGGGTATGCTGTTTACTGGCATTATGATAACCTCAGATGGACCGAAAGTTTTGGAGTACAATGCCCGATCTGGAGATCCTGAGACGCAGAGCATGATGATGCTCCTGTCACGATAGCTTCATGTATTTCCACCCTCTTTAATAGCTCTGTCAGGTGCTGTATCACGTGGTGTTTCACATTCATTCGCCTATATATAGGACTGCACTTTCTTCACTTTCACCTACATAGAATTATGCCTCCTAGACCTGAATCCTCATATGCTCTGCTGTGTGCTCTAACTCGTGACAGCTCCTCTCTTAGGAGACCGACTTGGCAGTCATTCTTCTGGCGTGCACACAACAAAGGTTAAGCAGCGTCACTTTGCTTCTTCGCCCTGGCTTTGCCTGCAACGTTGTTGTGGCAGCTGGCGGATACACAGGCAAATACTCAATTGGGGACAACATAGTATTTGGAGACAATTCAGATGAAGTACAGGTGTTTCATGCCGGTACCGAGCTCATCGAAGGAGTTTTGAAGACTGCAGGTGAGAGAGTGCTGTCTATTGCTTCGTACGGAGAAACCCTGAAAGATGCTGTTGACCGGATTTACCGCGCCGTTGCTGGAGTTGACTTCCAAGGGATGTACTTTCGAAAAGATGTTGCGCGACGGTAAGTCTAGCCAGGTGTGACAACTTCTATTATGGAAGCATGGAAGCTTTTGCTCCCCAGATGCCTCAAATAGCTGCGCATGATGCCACTCAATCGTCGTCAAGTTCATTCATGACGTAATTCTTTATCAGGAAGTGCTCCTGTATAGCTCACTTCTGCTTACAAGCTGATTCGGCGTGGCTGGTTAACTCGACGATTGCCAAGCCCGCCCTGGGTATCAATGGACGTTGGGTCAGTTCTGTCTCGCTGACGTTAAATTGCATGTGGACCACCATTTTCTTGGCCTTCTTACATTCAAAGGGCCACCTCGCGGTCTACACGTATCAAGCTCGTCAGATCATTGATACTGGTAGTCTCACTCCGATCGAGCCTCGTTGAGGTACACGTAAAGTCGCGTGTGTACTTGGCAGCCTGCCGTCTTTGTTCTCAAGATTAGGAGACGTCAATAACAGGGGATAGTTTACTGTTCCTGGTCTCTCGCAGAACTCTAGATTATTATCTGTGCAGGGGGCGATAAAATCCAGGCTCGATACAAATATTCTCGTATATGTAGTTGTGCTGCTTGGCTCTCTTTCGTCTTGCTATTTCATACCTTGATCTCACCCACAGGGGACAGATCACTACTCCCAGGATTCAAGGCCCGATCTGTAAGCCATTGTCCGCAGGTCTCTAATACCTTATATAAATGATTATAATCATCTGTGAGCTCATCTAAGTCATTACCTTGCATGATAAAAGCTGCCATTATAGGTTGAGCAGTTGGGTCAGGCGATCGCATTTGAGCAGCAGAGTTTGCCGCCACCCTGTCATTCATTGAGAGATTCTAAAACTTTAGACTAAAAAGGTTTCTCCTACATGTACATCATTCATCAGTCGTTGTTATCTTTACTTGAATATTCTGTCTGCAGTTTGCGCCCAAAGATAGGAAATTTGATTTGAAGACGGTCTGCATGTCGTTCTGCTCGTCAAAGGATTACGATTTGAATCTCCAAAACTGATGTCTTCGCGTGCCCATCATATGTGACATTCACTATGATGATAATTTCCCGCTTTGCCCGAACCACATGTTCACCAAAGTCTGGTGTTTAGGTGGCCAAAATCCAGTAAAACTTTCACCTTGCCTCGATAAAGCGGCAAAATACCATGGTATGTACACTCGATGTAGGAATGATCAGTTTATAAGCGGGTCATTCATCGTTACGCCGTGGAACATAATACCTTTGAGAGTGTATATAGCCACCTTCGTTCTTCTTTTCGACGAAGCGGTCGTCAAGGCTTTTCTTCTTCTCAACTTCGCACATTCTGAGCACTCAACCTTTCATGCTTTGAAACTCTGCAAAGCGAACGTCAGCTCCCAGCACTTCCTCCCTTCAAACATCTCCTGAGTAATTGGCTTCCACTAGACACGACAGTTACTCCCAGTTGCCACAATGAAGCTCGGCACACTCGCCGTACTCTTGTCCTCCTTCGCCCTCCTCGAAGCCCCAGCCGCCGCCTCGGGCACTGGAAAATATCACTATGGTCCGGACCAGAACGTCAGGCTCAAGGACATTCCCGCATGCGTCGTAACATGCATGAAAGAACTCGAGTGGCGCTTGAAGGAGAAGAAGATCCCCATATACATCATCCATTGGTGCGACAACACGTCCCCGCCTCACCGCCCCGACTGGGCCATTTTTGGCCAAAAGATGGATGAGTGCAAGGTGGTCCAGTGCAACAACATTCGGTACTGGTACGACTTCGCGGAGTGGCACTGGAAGAACTGCCACTGGCACGATCATTACAAGGCCAGCTTGGCTTGGGTCAACGATTATCGCGTAAGCGCGTGGTGGCCAAACGACGAAGGCCGCCCGAGGCCGCCCAGTCATGAGAGTTGGATCTCGGAGAACAGAACAGCGGATGCCCCCCCGCGGTGATTCTGGTCCCTGGACGATAGGGCTGGAGTAGAGGAGTTTTGCACTGCGTCGATGGGACTTGTGGCTTTCTTGGATCGGGAATTTTCCATTCAATCGGACGGCTGACGCTACTGTCATTGATAGAAATATGCAGAAAAGAATTCTGGTAGAATTGCAGTTTTTAAAAATTCTGATCAGCCGCTTCATCTGGACGATTCTGAGTGAACTTCATGCCATAGCTAAAGGATGGTCTCCCAACCCCGCAAGCTCTTCATGCAATATATATTCATCTAGCTCCTCTATGTATATCTCTCCTTATTTAAAAGTCAGGAATATCGTATCGTATGAGTGCTAGACATTGGAACGGGGCAGGGTTTCAGTTTTTCCTTGAAGTGGTTTTCCTCTATGTTCTTCAGCCTAGGGTGACTTAATCGTCTGAGATCAGGACATTAAATACCAATCAAGACTGAGGAGAGAGATAGACATAGAAAAAGACACCTTTAGTTTGCCCTTATTTTTAAAGAAGACCTTATATTTACTGTAACTACAAGTAATCTACTTTTCAACGACAACCTAGTCCTAATCAGACCTTTAGTGTCTAATTAAGGTGTATACCTTTCTATCTTGACACTTATGTAATATAGAACTACCTCATCTCATACAGCCTGCAGGCGGTTTCCTGTAAATAACAGATCTCACAATACATTCAAGAAACAAGGGAAATATTCAGGGGAATAACCCTGCTAGTGGCTGCTCTCCCTTGCGCCAGAACATCAAAATAAATGACTTGAGGTCTATTTGTATCTCCTCCTGAGTCTCACGAAGAGCGCCCTGTCGATCGAAACATTTTAGAATGCCGTCGCCTAACACTAATCATTGCCGAGAAGCCTCAACCTATCATAAAATTCCAGAGGCGCCAGATGTCGATTTTCAAAAGTCAACATTGTTACGTGTTCAATACTCGAACGACTTGCATACGCTATTCAAAGATCTTCTCGGTCAGTGATGGCCCGGGGCATGCATGACACTGGGCTTAGTATGCAGAACTTGGCAAAGCCCCGCTTTGATGTCGAAATCCATAAGCGGTTGAGGAAGCAAAAGCTCTGCCCCATATCCCGTTGGAGAGGGATAAACTGAACTAGAATGAATGGAGGTAATCGTTCAGCATCATACTGATAAGCATGAACGTATCTCTGACAAAATTATATACATCACAAAATTGCAACTTGTTCAGCGCGTTGAAAGTAATCACCAAGGAAGTCTTCGTGAGCCCCGGTAGTTGTCAAACTACCAACTTTGCTGGAATCTCTATACACATGCCCAATCTGTGCCGCCGCTTGGCTGCTATTACCGTTATTAAAAGCCGGCATACTTTGCTGCGGAGAAAAGGAAGGTTACTTCTGGATTCCACGGGCTCACTAGCGAGTCAAATCTTCACGGCGATAGTACACATCTTCCGGACGGCAGGATGCCAAGGAGTCAGAAAACACGGGTACAACGTAAGCGCCAACCACACCCCGATAGTTGTGCAACCCACAATCTTTATCATGAGTTGAGGGACACGGTGATCTGCATATGTCAGACGTTGATATTGCCCGGAATGATAAAGCGTGTTTCACAATAACAGACTGTGGTCCACTAGAGTCCGGCCTGGCCAAGATGCACGAGTTTGTCAGGGAGGTCACATCGCCGACACTTGACCGAGGCATGCAGACATCGACCCTTAGCTTCCACCAATCAAACTTCTGTCACGATGAGTAAATATATTCTATATAAACCGCGGGCGTCGTCCTTCTGCCGCACTCCGAACTCAAAAAGATCAAGCATACCGCCCAGGTTAGCAGTTATGGACCTCTCGAAGCTAACCGAGAAGACAATCAACGTCTCCCGCGGCTTCACATACACATATTACACCTCGTCAGCCCAAGGATCTAGGCCGACTCTCATCCTCTTTCACGGATGGCCCGACACCGCACGCCTCTGGGCCGGCCTCGTTAACGACCATCTTCTTCCCCAAGGTTATGGTGTCATTGCCGTGGATACCCTCGGATACGGCGGGTCTTCCAAGCCAACCGATGAGAAGGCATACGCGTGTGACGGCCTCACAGCTGACATTGTCGCGATCCTTGATGTTGAAAGCATCGATAAGGTGATCTCGCTCGGCCATGATTGGGGCTCCCTGACTGCCCAGCGTCTGTACAACTTTTATCCAGCCCGCGTCAGTGGCGTTGTCATGCTTAACGTGACCTATATCCCTCCCTCGGGTGACTTCAACCTCAACAAGTCCATCGAATCGACCAAAAAGAAGTTCGGCCGCGGCCTATTCGAATACTGGTACTTCTTCATTGCTCAAGATGCCGTCGATATCATGAACGGAAACCTTGAGTCTGTCTACGCCGTCGCTTTTGGCGAGCCCGAGACCTGGATCGAGACCTTTTGCACACCCGGCGGAATGCGCCGCTTCATCAGCGAAGGCCGCACGCAACCAACACTACCATTCGCGACGCCCGATCACAAAGCGGAATTCATGGAGCGCTTCAGCAGAGATGGGGACGGAGGGTTCGCGGCTCCATGTTGCATGTACAAGGCCATGGCTGCCGGCATCCAGAACGAGGCGGACATGAAAGTGGCCGAGGAGGCGAAGACAGTGAGTGTGCCTGTACTGTACTGGGGCGGCACACGGGACTTTGTATGCAGACCGGAGGGGTTGCAACAGAGCATCGACGATGGCCTACTCCCCGACGTGAAGAGCGTCATCCGTGACGGAGGGCATTGGGCTTGTCTTGAGAAGCCCGATGAACTCGGACGGGACGTGGTTGGATGGTTGCAGGAGCGATTTGCGTAGGTCCCCATAACAGTTAAAGCCGCCCAACGGAATGAACATTCGTCTAGCACGCGGCATACCATTCATTCACTTGAATGACATGTTCCAGAGATGGTGCCAGAATAAAACAACCTAGCAAGTACATGAATACGGTTGCAATGGGGGTAATTGAATTGCAATCACTGATCATATAATAAGTATCCAAAACTAAAAAGAGACTGCCAATTCACTCTCGTGGACTGGTATTGGACGATCAGGGGATTGAACCCTGGGCCTCCCGCAGGCAAGAGAGATAATGCAAAGCGGGCGCTCTACCACTGAGCTAAACGCCCGGTAGTTGCGGCACGAAGTAATGCCGCAATCGGATGTTTGTAACGGCCGAATGTGAGACTGAGAATCCCCGTCATCATCAATGCCCACCCGGGCGGAGACACAAGGCACAGCAAATTCGCAGTAACAAAACACAACAGAAACCCTAAGTGGGTTGCGACTTGTCCCCCTTTCGCCCCACAATGACACAGTAGCCACCTAGAGTCGAGTTGTGAGAACCCCGTCATTCCGATAGGTTCTTGGGCAAACCGCGTGGATTCCAATGCAACACCAAGCAAGGCTTAGCCTTGGTTTCTCCCCTTGGTGTAGTTGGTTCATCACGTTCGACTGTAATGGTTACATTGTCATCGAAAGGTCTCTAGTTCGATTCTGGAAGGGGAGAGAGCCTCTATTTTTTCCCTTATTCTCGACATCTATGTATAGATACAGACTTGGTTTGTTCAGGTTGCAATTCCTTGCTTGTACATTTTTTCTTTTGAGCAACCAAGCTAGTCACGCCATGTCAACTGAAGAATCAGCAGCATTAGCAAGACGAGGTTAACTGGGTGTTAATGAAATTTTACTCAGTTTTCTGCTACACAAACGCAGTCCAACAGTCGCATCGCTGAAAGACAAGATACTAACACAATCGGTTTCCTCCTCAGACATCCCGGTTGTCCTCCCTCCCTAATCTCTGCCCCATGCCCCCGTCCACGTCGATTCCGGCGCTACGTTCCTGCTGGATCGCATCTCTTGCGGCCTGCTGCTCTTGCTTCTTCCTGTTTCGCTATTAGCACCGACTTCCTCACAGCTAGTCGCCTCTGTCTCGGTGCCGGGGTGCACTCACCTCTCGAGCCCGCTGCTAAAGTCGTCGATTCGAACCTCCTCCTGTCCTGGCGCCTTCTGCGTCCCGTTCTTTCTCTCCACGGCGTCCGCGACCTTGCCCTCGGCCAGCGTCTCCATCTGCTCCGCCTCGACGTTGGGGTTCTCCGGCCCCTTGCGAGACTCCTGCTCGGAGACGTACGCCGTGTTCTCGCGCTCCGTGGCGTCCACGGGGCCTGAGGAGCGCACGCCTAGACCTAGCGCGCTCGGCACCGCGTCGTCGGCGGACCTGGCCTGAGACCGCGGGAAGGGCGTGCGGCCCTGGGCCGCGTCGCGTGCGGCAGTCTCGCCTTGTTGGGCGTGAGAGGCTGCGGCATCATCCTCGGCGGGGTTGCGGGATGCCGGGTTTGAGGCCGTGGTGTAGGCTGCTTCCTTTGGGGGTTGGGATGGCATCGACGAAGACATGCTTGGTGGCTGACGGCTTACTGTCTCTGGTGAGGGTCGGGAGATTTGCGAGATTGAATGATTCTAGCTAAAATCTCGGCTTACTGTTAGACTGTTTGCCGAGTAAAATGAATGGGATATTCTCGACATGAAGGTCCAAATCGCACAGGTCATCCATGCAAACGATCCAATGATATCAGCGACAGTTCGATGACGTCGGTGGGCGGGCGGTCGTGGATCGACGCTACTTCGCCCGATGACAGGGGAAAAAAAAACACTACCGACTGATTTCCCCATCTCCGTCATCGCAAACCCGTAATCATGTCGGTTGATCTCCAGATTGCGCTCCAGAGCCCACCTCTCCAGGCCTGGCCTTACTCGGACGTAACCGTGTGAAAAAACCAAGTCACTGCAAGCCCCTTTGGTCAAATAGACTGAATCTGCTCCACTAGCTGGGGATATCTGTGACCGGCAGCCGGCGACCGATACCTAGAGTCCCGTCCAACTTTTTGCATACGCCGACTACTCCCGTCGAGCGGCATCAGATACGCGTGACCTATCATCAAGTTACTTGCACATTCTCTCCTTCATCCTGCACATAAGCGAGACATCAACTAACTTGGGCATCGTTGAGAGGCTCGGGTTGGGGGGCACAGCAAGACTTGCTCAGCGCAAGGTGACCATATGCAATCCGTGTAACCTGTTTATTCTAATACGTAAAATCACTTCTATCTTGATGTCATTATGCTGCATATGTAGTCCGCATCTAACTCTCTGTCATAACGCTAGGAATACCCTTGTGTAGCAAATAGAGTTAACCTACACTAAAGACATAGCCAACCTATACAGACTATCTGTAGTTGTATTCTACCCGTAGTAGATTATAGTTATGAAATAATGAACACCTCGTCTTACAAACGCTGAATTTTTTAACGCTCTCCTATGGTCAAGTAGCTGGTTTTCAATCTTAATACGGGTTCTCAACAAACCATTGGCCCCATACCTGTGCGGACGATGGTTACTGCTTATAGCAACCCATAAGCATATCTTATACCGTAATTGAGTTCATCTGAAGACTGTCCCCAACGATGCAATGCGATATCTTCTCGTCGGGATTGGTCACTGACGCGGGGTCATTCCCCCCTCCCCGCCCACGGCCGATACCAGAATTGCACCACCACCAATGCGACAACGGGGCATCTCATCTATTATGCACTAGATAGCCTGGTATTCCCTTCCCAGTCAGATCTCAACGGCAAGCTCGCATGGTTATTTGACCCAAGACAAACTTTCTTTCGGGATAGGGGTAGAGAATCCGCGCAAACGGCTCCGGTTCGGCGTCCACGTGGTCAGCCGAGTATCGACGAGCAATGCTTGGCCCAATGTGTGCCGGTTTCATTTTCCCATTGTACAATAATGGTCAAGAATTGCGTGCCATAGCGCAAAGCTTACCCCCCAATGACCGCCGCTCGTTGCTCGAAGCGGGGTGCAGTTGAGGCATAGGGCTATATAAGATACGGCTGAGGTCCTCTGCGAGGTCGTTGTACCGTCATAATCATCTCTACGTGAAGCAGCATTGAACGTCACACTTCTCCGGAAATGCCTCCATCAGCTACAGAGGCCGCAGTGGCCAAGGTCAAGGGCATCGAGGCGAAGGTCTTGCCCGCGAAGGAATCCCAATCTGCGTCCAACCTGGCATCTCAAGATGAGGCGCTGCCGGAGGTCCGTACAGGCCACGAAGAGCCGCTCAAGCCGTCCGGCGCTCTGGACCAGTTCGATCACTTTGACGTGACGCCTATTATCGGCCGCGAGTATCCGACAGTGGACCTAAAGGAGCTCATGAGGGCCCCAAACTCTGACGAACTGATCCGCGACCTGGCAATCACAAGTACGTGCGGCTTCCGCCAGGATATAAATGCATGATTGACAAGGACCCAGTCTCACAACGCGGCGTCGTCTTCTTCCGCAAGCAGGACAACATCGATAACGACCTGCAGAAGGAGCTCGTCCAGCGACTAGGCGAGCTTTCGGGGAAGCCGTCGACCTCGAAGCTCCACATCCACCCCGTCAACAACTCCGGCAGAGGCGAGACCCAAGACGACGAGATCAGCGTCATTTCGTCGGCACAGTCAAAGAGGCTGGGCCTGAACCACTTCCTAAACTATGACAAGAAACAGACGCAAAAGGGGCAATGGCACTCGGACATAACCTTCGAGCCGGTGCCGAGCGACTACTCTCTGCTGCGCCTCACGAAACTTCCAAAGACTGGGGGAGGTCGGTCTTTCCCTGCTACTGCGTTGTTCCACCCCGCTGACATGTCCATCAGACACCCTCTGGGCCTCGGGATACGAGTTATACGACCGGATATCGAAGCCGCTGCAGGGGTTCCTCGAAACCCTGACGGCGACGTACGCGCAGCCGGGCTTCAACGCGACGGCGAAGAAGAACGGGTTCTCGCTCTTCAAGGAGGCCCGCGGCGCGCCCGAGAACGTCGGCGAGCTCCTCGAGGCCGTCCACCCCGTCGTCCGCACCAACCCGGTGACGGGGTGGAAGAGCGTCTTCGCCGTGGGCCAGCACGTGTCCAGAATCAACGGGCTGTCGGAGGACGAGTCGAGGCACTTCCTCGACTGGTTCATACAGTTGATCGTCGAGAACCACGACCTGCAGGTGCGGAATCGCTGGCAGAACGTGAACGACATCGCCATCTGGGACAACCGCTCAGTGTACCACGCAGCAACGCCGGACTACCTGAACGAGGACCTGGGGGAGAGGAAAGGTTCACGCGCGGTGGGCATCGGGGAGAGACCATACTTTGACCCCCAGAGCCTGAGTAGACGGGAGGCCCTGCGGGCCGATGCCATCGCCAGCTTGAAGTCAGACTTGAGCTGAAGGGGAGAAAGAAGCGTAACAAGTATAGTCCAGATGCTATGGGCTTTGCTGGGGGTAGATTCAGGGAGCTATGTGCGGGGTCGACCAGGTCGGGAGTTGGCCTCGGGCTCTCGGTGGTATATTATTGTCTACGAATGGGTTGGTGCGTCCTGTGCGTCGACAAATACACAGTTTCTGGCTTGCTCTCATCGTTTTTTTGGATACATATCTTGAACACATCATTTCGCCCGTACCTAAACAGAATATTATCGTGGATAGAGTTCAGGCGAAGGATGAGGGTGAGGTCGCAAGCCAACTAGTGCTCGCTCTCTCTCCCGGCTCCCAGCAGAGTTCATAGACAACCCTGTGGCCGTTGCAACTGCTGGGTTAAACAGTGAGCTAGGGCATGTGCATGCGGTGTGCATCTCATATCAGTTGCTGAGATCTAAGATGAGAAAGATGATGAAGGCGAAGAAGAAGAAGACGGTCGCCATCCCACGAAAAAGCACGTATTCCGACACGGCACAGCGGCAGCCGAGGCCGCCGGTCCCCGCGGCCCATCGCTCCGTTTCCGAGCTGCAAAACCTCCGAAGGAACACGGGAGGAAAGTCACCGTCTCCGGCCCCCAACATGCAGCCCACCCGGGGCCGCTTGGCCTCAGTGTTTCAGGGGCAACCCACCCTCAGATCTCCCGTCAGGGCCGTCACAGAACAGTCACTCAGGAGGGGTGGTCTTGGCGTCGTATACCCCTGCAAGGCCTGCAGCGGCGCGCTGTACCTCGCTGGGAGGGTATGTCTAAGCCGCATCTCATACCTTACGAAGCAGAAGCAGCTTCAACACGAACACCCGCCTCGAATCATGCGTCTCTGCAGGAGTATCTACGTCTGTCGGTCCCAAGTCTGGTCTGCCCTCCCTCTAATCCAACGCCATGGGCTTTGGGAGGAATCATCAAGCCAAAGTGGAAACGCCCTCATCGATCAATGTCGCCTTCCTTCCTTCTCTAATTACCTGTCTACTATATATCGTACGCGGCTGGCTGATCACCGTGCGCGTTGACGTCGCGCTGTTCTCCCACCAGGGTGACATCTTGCCCCCTTTAGCCGGTTTGAACGTCTCATGCCTGCTCGACTCTGTCGATCTTGCCTTAGCCCCAACCCGGCTGAATGGGCGATCTCACGAGCGGAGGAGCGTGATGGACGGCTGCCGTCGTATCTGCATCTCCCCCGAACGCCAAGCCCCGCAATATAGAAAGGGGTGAGGGGAACAGAGCTGGCATCGAGTTAGCAAGAGTATGAATGTCCTTTTGCCCAAGCCGGTCTTTGGACAAATTGCCCCGCATGTCTTTATGGAGCTATTCTTCGCATGAAAATCTCATTTTCATTACATGAGTATCATTGACGGGGACCGAGGACCGCGAACCCGGGTAATCTGAGCACATCTGGCGGCGGTGCTCATCAACGACGCTCCAGATTCCCTTTTGAGGAACACATCCGCCCCTTAAGTGCCGCGATTCATCGGACAAGATCGCACCCCCAAACGGAACCGCTTCACCACCCCCCCTGGGATGGGATGGCAACGCAAACCACAAACATGTAACCCGAAGCCGAACTCTTTCCGGATCCTACTCTTCCTCGAACCCCCCCGGCCCTCAAACAGGCCCGGGCCTGAGCTCGGCGGGAGTCAGCCATATGCACTCATACAAACACAGAAACATGCAAACACGCATCACTCTCTTGTCCTTTTACCCGGCAGCCCGTACAACCACCATCTGGTCCAAGCACGCCGCCCGTCGCGCGGGATCCTCGGCCAAAAACCCGGAGCTGCATGCAATCTGCAAGAGGCCCAGCAGAGATCAGCAGGTGAGAGGCCACAGAGGGGAAAGAAAAGACCAGGGTGTTACTGCACCTGTCACAGATCATCTCCATCCATCCCCTGGTCATTACCCCTGACCCATCGTGCGCGTCCACATCGCTGCCCTTTACCCCTCTGCCCTCTTGATGAGCAGGGGCCGAATCGTCGCTACGGTTGCAGAAGCCCCTGTTGGTATACTACTACGTAGTATGTAAGGTCGAGTGAGACCCGCCATCGAGCTTCTACTCCTCTAGAGTCTTCTTCTTTCCTTGTTTCCTCTTTTTCTCATCCGAATTCGCGTCCTTGACTGGGCGTCGATTCCATCGGCGTTCGTCAGAAATACAGTGTGATGCGATAGCCCCTCGTCCTGGTCGACGAACATCTCGAGTGCGAGCCACTGGTGGCGTACCGATCGAATACATTCATTCACATACATATTTCGATTCATCAATTACCAGCCCGTCCGAACAACACGGCCTCACAACCTCTGTCAATAAACGAAGAAAAAGAAAAGAAGAAAATAAGAAAAAAACAGAAAGAGATATGACTATTTATTCAAACAATGGCCTTATGACACCAGACATTGCCCGACACCAAAACACGCCCCAAATGCCCAACATGCCACCTCCGGGCCTCAGCGTCAGCACCGGCACGGGCACCGCCCCGTTCTTCGCCCTCCGCGCCGTCGACCCCGATCCCGCCGCCGCTGCAGCCGCCGCATCCGCCAAGGCGACCACATTGGGCACCCCTCCCTGGCTCCTCGCCCGCCCAGAGGACCCGAACGAGTGGAGGGGCGCCTCCGTCTTGTTCATCGCCATCCTCTGCGCCGTTATCGCGACTGCCTTCGTGTGCATGCGCTTCTACACCCGTGTCCGCATCCTCCGCACCATCGAGTGGGAGGACTGGACCATCCTCGCGTCCCTGGTGTTCGCCATCGCCACGAGCGCAGGCATGATTATACGTACGTCCTGCCCCCTCTGGCTCCCTACACCCCCCTCTAGGTTCCGATTTCCCTCGTTTGCACTGCACCACGCGCAAGGAATCGAGATAACTAACAACCACCACCCCCGTAGAACTCAAGTTTGGCCTCGGCCAGCACCTGTACTACTCCTGGCCCTCCTATCCGTCCTACATCGAGGCCGGCACCTTCACGAACCTCTCCTACTCCATCAGCCTCACCCTAACCAAGGTCTCTATCCTCCTCCTGTACATCCGCATCTTCGCCTACGACCTCGTTTGCCTGCTCGCCAAGATCCTGCTCGGGGTCGTCGCCGTCTCCCACACCTGGATCATCGTCAGCATTCTCACGACCTGCATCCCCCTCAGCGCCGCCTGGAACTACGACCCCCAGGCTCCCCCGGTCTACTGCCACCCCTTCTCCGTCTTCTGGGGCAACGCCTGCCTCCACCTCGTCACCGACTTCTTCATCTTTCTCCTGCCGTTGCCTGTCATCGCGTCCATGCGCCTCCCGCGCCGTCAGAAGCTGGGGTTGTACTTTGTCTTCTCCCTCGCCTTCCTGTAAGTCCCGCCCATAGCCCAGTCTCAGCGTTGGCTATTCTTCTGCGTTCCAGACACCACCACTGACCTCCGCCCGCCTCCAGCGTCTGCGCAATCTCCATCCTCCGCCTCGTCCGTCTCTTTCACACAGACGAGACCATGGAGCAGGTCCTGGACGTTACCTGGTCCGCCGTCCGTATCGCCAATGTCACCTGCATCGAGGTTCACGCCGCCATCATCACGGCCTGCCTCACCACCCTCAAACCCCTCTTCACCCGCCTCTTCCCAAGCTTCGACGCCTTCCCCGCCCGCCGCAAAGGCTCCTTTTCCTCCTCATTCTCCTCCAAGGCATCATCGCACCCCGCCGCCGCCGCCAACCGCGGCGACTGGGAGAAGAACTTTTCCACCGCCAACCCCGAGGCGCGCTATAAGCGGCCCCTCACCATCGGCACCAAGTCGAGCCGTCCGCCCGTGCGCCGCGACACCTTTGCGAGCATTCTCGCGCTGTCGCCGACGACGCCCAAGCACGATGACGAGTTCGCCGATGTCCTGACGTCCATGAGGCCCTCGGCCGACCTCAAGAGCGGCCGAGGGGACAGCCAGTTCCGCCTCGCCGAAGTCGACGCCGGCGCCCCGCTGCGGTGGCCGTCCAAGCTGGTCCGCAAGTCTAGGCTGCAGATGCCGCAGGGGGCGAGGACCCGCAGCTCGACGCTGCGGCGCGACACAGAGCGGTTCGGTCCTCCGATGCCTTAGGACCAGATATAATGAGATACGCATGTACAACAACGAGAGGGGCGTTTACGGGGAGGTGTTGTGGTTTTTGTTCTTTTTCTTTTTTGAATAGCGAACATGTGAAATAACACAGGCAGGCAGCGCGCACGCAAAGCGAGCGGGGAGACGGGCATCGTTGACAACCCGACACAGCGGCGAGCCAATTGGGCTCTGTATCACCAGGAATACACACTTGTATGGCGTTTGGAAAGGCAAACGGCGCTTGGGAGGGTATCATGTGGTTGTATACCCGTTCAGCGCAGAGCGCGCCCGGTCATGGTAGTACGAATAACGACGTTTTCCCCTAAACAAAAATAGCCAACCGTCCCAGTTGCCCATTTTGACGCCTGTCGGTCATCCGTGTAGGTTCTTCTTCCTCTTTGTTTTTTTCCCCTTTTCTGTGACAATCTCGGTATCTGTCTCTCGACAGGGGTAAGCGACATGGAATCCATCACCAGAAAGGGCCGTGTTGTGCTCACCTGCTCTCAAACAGAGCCCCCTTCCTCCGCTTCTCATGGCTCGACGACCTCTTCGTCTGCCGTTGTACTGTAGCCCTCGTCATCCGATGATGCTGGATTCCAAGACTTTTGGGGTCATCTCAGCCACCACCGGTCTTTAAGAGATGAGGTCGGCGACGTTCATGGGCATCTCGTCGATCTGGGTAGAGTAGTACACTGCGGTCCGAGTTAGCCTCCTCGTCTGCCAAAGAGCTCGGGCAGTACTCACACTCAATGTCGCGCAGAATGCGCACATCCTCGCTAGTAACGAAGTTGATAGCGACACCCTTGCGTCCAAAGCGACCGCTTCGTCCGATGCGGTGGATGTAGTTCTCACGGTTGCTTGGCAAGTCGTAGTTGATGACCAAACTGACCTGCTGCACATCGATACCACGCGCCCAAACATCGGTCGAGATGAGCACACGGCTGTTGCCCTGGCGGAAGTCCTGCATAATGCTGTCGCGCTCCTTCTGTGGCATGTCGCCGTGCATGCTGCTGACGGTGAAGTTGGCCTCACGCATCTTGTCCGTCAACCAGTCGACCTTCCTCCGGGTGTTGCAGAAAATAACGGCCTGTGTGATGGTCAAGGTGTCGTAGAGGTCGCACAGGGTATCGAACTTCCAGTCCTCCTTCTCGACAGCAATGAAGTACTGCTTGAGTCCCTCGAGCGTCAGCTCGTCACGCTTGACGAGGATTCGCACGGGGTCGGTCATAAACTTGGTCGTCATATCGAGAACATCGTACGGCAGGGTGGCGCTGACGACGACGACCTGGGTCGCGGGCGGCAGGTACCGGTAGACGTCGTAAATCTGCTCGCGGAAACCACGGTTGAGGAGCTCGTCGGCCTCGTCGAGAACGAGCATCTTGATGTGGCGAGTGCGCAGGTGACGGCGGCGGATCATGTCAGCGACGCGTCCAGGGGTGCCGGACACGATGTGCTGGCCGTAGTCGAGCTTGCGGATGTCCTCGCCGACGTTGGTGCCGCCGATGCAGGCGTGGCACTGGACGTTCATGTAGTCGCCGAGGGCCATGACGACGGACTGAATCTGGGTCGCAAGCTCGCGGGTCGGAGAGAGGACGAGGGCCTGGGTCTCGCGCACCGCCGTGTCGATAACCTGGAGCATGCTGATGGAGAAGGTCGCCGTCTTACCCGTTCCGGACTGGGCCTGGGCGATGGTGTCACGGCCCTTGCAGACCTGGACGATAGCGCGGGACTGGACGGCCGAGGGGGATTCATAGCCGTAGGCGTAGATCCCACGCAGGAGGTTCTCTGCGACGCGCAAGTCAGTAGGCAATCCTCTAACGGCAATGGGCAGAGGGGCGGCGTCTAGCAGCCTTACCCTTGAGCGACATGGACTCGAAGGTTGGGTGGACCGTAACCTCCTTGGAGGTGGAAAACTCCATCCTCTCCTCGGCCTTACGGTCGATTCCGCTGCCTTCCGCCATGATTAAGGCTGTGTATTGATCGGGACGGTGTGTGGTAGTGGCGGTTGGAATGGGGTTCGTGATAGTGTTCAGTGGTGTTGCAGGCAGTTGATGCAGACAAACGGGCGAAATTTCAGAGGGGCGTGCTGTAGCTTCAACGCGCGCGACAGCTTTTCCATAATAGGACAATGGCCCTTGCCCAGCGAAAGCCGCAATTGCCCCTCGGCACGGAATATCCAGATCGCCGGACTGTGGGAATCAATCTCGGGTTTGCCACAGGGCGATTTCCACAGCGCTTACCTTAGCACCTTGGGTACCAACCTAGGTAGATAGCCTACCTAGGTACCTACCACAGCTCGTCCATCACCCAGAAACCGGAGCTAAAGCGACCTTATTCAGTGGACCACTCAGCAGTCGCGCTCGCCCAGAAGGCTGCCGACCTCGAAATTTCCCAGGAGCCTTGCGACGAACACCATCGTCAACACTCCCTTTCCCCAAAAGACAATCACACACGCCCGGTTGATACCCACCGCGCGCGCGAGAGACAATGGGCGTAATCGAAGAGCAGCGCTACCTTCACGAGGACCTCGAGCGCCTCGAGCAGGGCATCGCCGACCGCATCAGCGAGGAACCGAAACACATCCGCGACCGCCTCAACCGCGACCACGAGATCGCCCAGCTGCTCGACCAGATTCAGGCACAGTCTGTCAAGCTCCTCGACATCTACCACGACGCAGACGGCTATCGGTCGCGCGAGATCCAGAGCATCGGCACCGGCGACCCCTTTGAGCAGTTCTACAGCCAGCTCAAGGATGTGCGCGAGCACCATGCAAAGTACCCTAACGAGCAGGCCGAGAACTCGGAGGTGCGTTACCGCGTCAAGAAGCCCGACGACGGCGAGATCATGCCCTACATCGTGGACCGCCTCTTCACCGGCGAGGAGGGCTTCGGCCGCTTCTTCGACCTGCACACCTGCCACGAGTCGTACCTCAACTTGCCCAACGTCAAGCGCCTGTCGTACCTCCAGTACCTCGAGGTCTTTGACAACTTCAGCCCGGGCCACGGTGGCCTGAAGCGCGCCGACAAGCTGACGGACCAGTACTTCAAGTATGTTGGCGAGCTGGCAGAGTACCTCGAGTCCTTCATGCGGCGCACGCGACCTCTCGAGAACCTCGACAAGGTGTTCCTCGGCTTCGACAACGACTTTGAGGCGGCGTGGGACAAGGACGAGGTGCCGGGGTGGCAGAAGGAGGACGGCGCCAACAGCACGACGCGGGAGCCCGGCACCGCCGACGCCATCTGGTGCGACGACTGCGAGAAGGAGTTCAAGAACGAGAACGTCTACCGGTCCCACCTGACGGGCCGCAAGCACATCAAGGCCGCCGAGGCCCGCAAAGCGCGTCTTGACGAGGCGGCCGGGGACGGGACGAACGGCACCACCAACGGCCACCGGGTGTCGGCTACGCGCCTCAAGGAGCGGGCGGTGGCCGAGCGCGAGTACCGGGTCAAGCGGCTCGCGGCGGCCATGAGCACGGAGCGCGGCGACACGCGCGTCAACGTCGAGCGGCGGCAGGGCATGACGGAGCGCGAGCGGCAGCAGGAGCTCGAGAATATCATGAACCTGTCGTACTCGGCGCCAGGCGGCGGCGGCACGCATGGCGGGGTGGACGACGACGACGACGACGACGGCGAGGACGGCGAGGAGAAGATCTACAACCCGCTTAAGCTGCCGCTTGCGTGGGACGGCAAGCCCATCCCCTTCTGGCTGTACCGGCTGCACGGTCTGGGCGTTGAGTTCCCCTGCGAGATCTGCGGTAACTTTGTCTACATGGGCCGGCGGGCCTTTGACAAGCACTTCAACGAGGCCAGGCACGTGCACGGCCTGCGGTGCCTGGGCATCACCAACACGACCCTGTTCCGCGACATCACGAGCATCGAGGAGGCGGTCAACCTGTGGGACAAGATCCAGCGGGAGGCCAAGAAGTCAAAGGTCGACGAGGGCAGCGTGGTCCAGATGGAGGACGCCGAGGGCAACGTCATGCCGGAGAAGGTGTACTACGACCTGCAGAAGCAGGGCCTGTTGTAAGTCCGGAAGGGGCCAAGGCATATTTCGAGGACACGGGGAATGGATGGCAAGGGGAAAGGGGGCTCGCTGGTGTATAAAACCATGTAATCCAAGACGAGAGACGAAAAGGAAGGGAGGGGAGGGGGGGACGACTGTAAATAAATGTAGACCATGTTTTCCTGGTCCCCCTTCCCGGCAGTAAAATGAGAAGCCTGGGCCAGTACAACAACACCAAAAAGATGTGGTCAAAATATGTATCCTTTCAGACAAGAAAAAAGAGAGAGAAAAAGACACCTAGATTTCCACGCGTATGTCGCCTTGGCTACAACACTGATGGGAAACCCTCCACAGACACATCGCAGGCGCTGGATGTCGAGGACGGGGCGTGACATGACATGACGTGAAAGCATGGACTTGCCCAATTGCTTCGAGCAAGACCGATTACGACAGCACCACGCTAAGAGAGAGAGACTCGGCTTGTCTCGGAGACGTTGACGGAGGCGGGACGTAAATTGAGGAATGCCGTATGTCGTCATTTCGTGGAAACACAGTATTCAGCCGCACTACGTCACATAAAAACGCGTTTGAAAGCCATGTACATATGGTAAAATGTCCTGCATCGTTCTTTTCCTAAGGTTGTGATGTATGGTCGGTTGGGTGGCCATGTTCTATACGAAGTCTCACCCGTCCCGATGTCTATGTAGTCTATCTCTTTGTACAGACCCCGCCGAGGTCGCCCTTTGATTTTCGCTGTCCCAGAAACAATCGCTTTTCCAAAAGCAGAATAATAATTCGACTTTTTTTTGTCTTCCGATGATCCTTCAGTCCTTTCCATGGTTGGATGTACCCAACTCTCATTGATTGCTAATACACCTCTTCATTTATCCCCGCTAAGTGGCGCAGTGTTGACGTCTCAAGTAGACAAAGAGAAAAAGATCATTAGCTGACGTTGTGTTCCTCCTCATTAAGTTCTGTAATTCGTCCCCTTATTGGCATAATGTGGGTGCCGGAGTGATAACCCTGAAACAAAAAATCGTAACGGATCCATCTTTGATTGCCTCGATTCGTGCCCAAGCCAAAGAATGAACCTTTGAAATGGTGCGCAGGTTAATCCTCAAACAGGCCGGACATCTCTTCGAGAAGCTGGTCAGCCGACGGGCGCTCAGCAGCGTCCATACGCATGATGCGGTTGATGAAGTGGGAAGCGGTGCGGAAATCGAGGGGCTCGACCTTGCGTCCCACGGTCAGCGCCTTGGCGGCCATGGCCTTGCCAGGGCGAGCACGCTCCAGGTAGGTCTCGGGGATAGCACCAAAACGACGCGACTGCTGACGGAGAACCTCAAAGACATAGCTGCGATCGTGGTATCGAGCGTTGGTGGGGCGGAAAGGGTTGTAGTCGCCGCCATGGAGGAGAGCAATCATCATGGAGCCAAAAGCCCAGATATCGCTGGCAGTTCCCCAGGGAACCTCCATGAGCACCTCGGGGCTTGTCCAGATGGGAGCACCGATCAAGAAACCCTTGGTGGCAACGTCGGAGTCTGTCGAGTACGAAGCACCCAAGTCGCCAATCTGAACATCGGAGAACCGCAGGTCAGGGTCGGCCTCGGAGGCTGAAGCATAGTTGACGAGGATGTTGTCGGGCTTGATGTCGGTGTGGATGTAGCCGTCATTGTGGAGAGTGGACAAGCCACGGAGGACGGCGCGAGCGACAAAGCGGATTTCACGGTTGGTCAGGGGCTTCTGGATGGTCGCGTTCAAAAGATGGTCGTCCATATGGCGGAGGACAATCATTGGGGCGTCCTGCTGGATCTCGTCGATAACAGGGCGGAGGAAGGGGTTGCCTTGAAACTTGCGAAGGACATTGTGCTCGTTCTGAGCACCGGAGATGCCTTGAACGCCCTTGACAATGGACTTATTGCCCATAGGGTTCCTACGTCAGGTGTTAATCAGTTGGCCTTATCGACGGTGCTGGAACAGAATGGACTTACGTAGCGATCCAAACACCTTCACGGATTTTCTTTTGAATTGTGTAGCGGCTGGCGTTTCCGAGAAGGATCTGGCCGATCTCGAGGGACGGGGTCCCGAAGGCGGAGGTGAGACCTCTGGGAATCATTTCGACTGTGTGGGTAGCGTATGAACGGAAGTTGTGTTTGGTATCGGCTGCGGTACGATTGTCTTCGGCGGTTGGTTTCGTCGAAGTTTACTTCTTCAAGTGACAGCTTGCAGGGGCTGTCTGAGAAGAAACAGGTCGATCACTGTCATTAGGTGATGTAGGCCCCGATCGATGTCGTGGAGAGAAACGCCTAGCACGAGGTTCCCGTCATTCGGATAGGATCGTGTGTAGACAAACCGGGTGGACAGGAGACTGTAGGAGTGGATGAACGTATCGATCGAGTCGTCGAATAGTGTGATATCAGTGGTGTTGAGCTGATGGTCAGAGGGGCAGAGACAAAATTGAGGTGAGTTGAGTCGGAGGAGGAACGCTTCTTTAACGAAGAGTCGGATACTTTCTGGAAGTACCTTACAAAGACAAGCCAACCAACCAAGGGCAGGGTGGTTGCGTGGCGTGGACGTGGGTGTGTGGACGTGGGTGTGGACATGGGGGTGAGTGGGGGGTGTGGAAAGGGAGTGAGGTACAGGGTGGAGGGGAGGCAAACTTAGCAGCATTTGGCGTTCGGTTTGGCACTTTGCTTGGTGTGGCACTCGGATCACCTTGACTAGAAGTGCAGGACCAAAATAAAACGGAAGGAAGATCCAGACTTTTTCCTGATTGCAGCGGGATGCGCGAGCCGGACCTGGCAGAGAGTGGCAAAAGGGGGGGGGAAGCGACGATACGTACCGCATCTTCGCTGGGATCGAGGTGGTACGTCTCCCCATCATGCTGGGACACGGCTGGGACACAGACGGACAGAGATAGAGTTTGGTGGATGCCGACTTCGCATCGGTTGAACATAGGACTTAACAGCTGCCACCACTCGCTGGCGCCGGGTGCCACGTAATGGTTAGTTAGGGGTCGAGCGCGCCGCGGCGACGGTGAGGCAACGAAGTTTGCTCCAATTTAGTTTCAGTGAACTGAGACGAAAGGAGGAAGGGGAAAGGCAGCACAGAACCTTCTGCTTCGGGCGGACAAGAGGGGGGGAACTATTTTTTTTTCTTCTTCCGCCTGGTGCAATGACAACCAATCGGGCTGTGTATTTGTGTAATGGAGGGTGGCCTATCGGTCCATTGCCGTCGTCTGCTGCACCTGAACGCCCAGCAGCACACCGCAGCGGCCGTGGACGGTAGAGTGCGGTCTGGATCGCCCATCTGAGGCCGCTTCGAAACGGCAGAGGACAGTGTGCCCAACCAAGACCGAAGCGCAGAGACGAACTATTGACCAGACTCGGGAGGGGAAGGTAGGCAGTCTGCCCATCACTACGAATAGGAACAGAAGCTCCAGCCTGTTCCATTCTGCTCCATGATTGGCATTGGAAACCCTTGGGATCGACAAGGATGCGTAGCCGGTGGAGGCTCCCATCGCAAGCAGGTTAGGGGTCCCCCTCCTCCAGCCCAGGTACGCGCTCATACCCCTGGGGTCTCGAGCACTGTTGGCCAAGACCGCTGTTCACGAGGACACCCTCAGTGGCCAGTAGGTACCTCCTTGAGGTGAACTGATTGGCTGCCACGGCATGCCGCTGTCACCGATGGACCGGATACTTGTGACTGCATCCGTAGCTTGTTCAAGTGCTCACATACAGTCGTATTCCGCCACGGCCAGACGTGTTCGGTGCACCGACAATTCCGACGTCGCCATCTAGACACGCAATCGCATGTCGAATGCCCGGCGGAGGGATGGTGCCCCCCTGTCTCTTATTCTCGAATCAATCGGTTTCGGCTCCCAACTGCCATAGTGCAGTGCAGCGCGCGTGCCGGCTGCAGGCTAACTACCTAGGTGACTGATCTGAGGTGTGTGGGCGAATGTTGAGAAACGAGAGATGATGTGTGAGTAGCAAACCATTGATCGTACATGTATACCACGAGCCGCACGGCATCTTCCAGCGGCTGGCCACCCACGACGCCTCCGACACACCGTGGTAGACAAGCCCCTCAAGCCGCGAGGCGCAAGCGCTGCGCCAGTCAGTTGAGGAAACCGCTGGTTCCTTTCGACTGTAGTAGTAGAGGGGCCAAGCTGACAAGCTGCTTGGTCCGGCTCTGATAGCTTGGAAGCTTGAGCGCTTGGCTGCAGCCGCATCTGCATCTACGTCGTTGCTGTCTTGCACTTGTGTCGTCCGCATTCCTTACATAGGTATACCTACCGGTAGGTACAGCGCCGGGTGATAGTGTACAGTGGCCTGTCCCGCAGCTGGACCATTGTGTCTCGGAGACTCGGTCAAGAACTCACTGTATCCTTACGGTGAGTCAAGTCAGGTGGCGTGGGGGAGGAGCCGAGCCGACAGCGTCAAATTGCTGCGAAATGGAAAGTGAACGAGGCACGCATCATCGGATCCGCGACAGGAAGGAGACCAACTTCCATTCACGGGCTTCTGTGCCCATCGACGAGGCCAACTAATCGTAGTCTGTGGGACACAGCAACAGCGACGGCTGGTGCCCACCAAGCGTGCTCCAAGATGTATCATCGTACATGTAGGACAGGAGGCGAATCGACGGGACTGATGTGCGCTGGGGATGGCTCGATGCGGCGGCGGCTTGAGCGTCTCGTCTTCTTCTTGGACAAGCTCCAATCGACCGTGGTCTCTCGAAGGCTCGATCGGTATCGCCCGGTCAAACCATGTTTTGGGTTTCTGGCTCGGGCTTCCGGGGTAAGTTGGATCCAGGGTGGGTGAATCAGTCGCTCGAATTCTGTGCTGTCCTGCAGGCTGCGGCATTACACTGACACAATACTGGGTATCGCGGGGACGCCATTATGGATGATAATTGGCAGGCTTCGGCGGATGGCCATTTGAGACAGCCGGTCATTTGCATGGTTTACATGGTTTGCGTGATGTGCGTAATTCGTCGTGATGACAGACGATCTGGGTTGCTCGTCGGTAACAGGGAAGGCTCCGTGTCATCGATTTGTCTAATCTGCATGGTCGATTCGATCGAGCACCTTGTCAATCTGAGTTGAGGCGGCGTGAAACTCTTGTCTCTCCCCAAGTGATGCCATATGGAACAATTGGGCAGAATGCCGGCGTATTCTGCTTTTCTGGCAAAGGGATATATGATGGAGGGCAAGGGGTTCAGTCGCCGTGAGTCCGGCTTCGTCGGAGTGTTGGTGTGAAGAACGGAAGCGCTGTAGGTGTGTCGTGATCCAGCAAGTGAAAGCTTCACTCCCACCAGCTACGAGGGTAGGTTTTCCGGACGCAATGGGACGAAATGTCACGACATGGATGATGGAATGTTGAATCAAACAAACAAAACAAAACTTGGGGCAATTGGGGGGCGGGGTGTTGTGATCAATGGCCGGGGAAGACGAGGGACGAAGCCGGACGACGATGGCTTGGATGGAGGGGAAGGTGCCCGACTCGAACAGGGAGGGCAGTTGCGAAGTACATTGTACGTACTTGATGCCCGTGGGGGAGGAGAGGAAGATGCGAAAAAGTACGGTACAGGTGCACTGCTCCTGCTCCCGGCAGCAGCCCAACAGCGCCAACCGGAAAGCATGACGAGACGGCCCCTGTTCCTGCCTGTTCCTCGTTTCTCAACCTGAACACCGCACCACACTAGGTATTCGTACCTGCCAGCTAAGTACTCCGTAACAGAAGGCTAAATGAGCAGCCACTGCCCTTCCCTCCCGGGCCCTGAACGGCACTAGCGTCCTTTGCAACTCCCGACCGAAGGTTTCTATTTTCAATGCACTCCACGCCATCAAACGATACGGGACGCATACCTAGCTGACTTTGGCATTTTAGGTGGTTATGACAAGGGATACAAAGACAAAGTCTTACGATCCAATAATCACGACTACCTCATCTTCTGTTGCCTCAGTCGCCCGCACTCCCTTTCCTTCTTCCTCCCTCCCCGTCGCCCCCTGGAAACGCCACGACTGCATCTCACAGTCAACCACGTCAATCTGTCTCACCGTGACATTTGCTGCATTCCTCTACCCCAGCTTTGCACCCTCACCTGACCAGATCCAATTTGCCGGTCCCTGGCCGGATGCAACGCAGTAAACGAACTACCTACAGCTCCCCCAACTTTGGTCTCATTTCTCGCTGCATCTCCCGCATCTGCATCTAAGAGTCTGAGACCTGGGGGCTCCAAGACGTGGAGAGGTACCCGACTGTCCGAGCGAGCCCTCGGCCGACATCGCTCTGCTAGCTAGTGCTTTGCTCCTGGTGCAGTTACTATTGCTACAGTCCCGAACCAAGCCCGAACCTGCGACCTGTTGCACACCGCTCTCTCATCGCCCTCGTCCGGTATCATCGTCTAGACCCGTTCGTCTCGCCTCGCGTCGCGCATTAACAATACAATCAACGCAACAAGAATCATCAGCAGCAGAACACACGCACACCAGACCACATACGCTCACACCTCGACCGCCCCGCGTACCCTCGTTGTCGCAATCTTCCCCGGTTTCCCGGTTCCCCGGGCTCCCCCTCCTAACTCTCCCACGCAAACTCAACTTTACTTAGCTTGGCCCCCAGACCAGAACCCGACCTTGCCGACACATTCCCAAAACCGAGTCCGCGTATGCTTTCACAAGCACGCAGAGTCTAGACTCTCCCGCCCGCCCGCCCGCCGAGCCTGCGTCCTGCACAACTTCTCCAAAATACGTCGCACAACATAATGTCCTGACTCTGTCCGCCCTTCCCTGCCGAGTCATGCCTGTCCAGTCCAAGCCCATACCTGCCCTCTACACCGTCTACGTCCTCCGTTCTACGGTGCGCCACGCCTCTCTCTACATCGGCTCCACGCCCAACCCCCCACGCCGTCTGAAGCAGCACAATGGCGAGGCTCGCGGCGGCGCTGCTCGCACCTCCCGCCTAAGCCTCCGGCCCTGGGAGATGGTGGGTCTGGTCTCCGGCTTCCCGGGCATGGTTGCCGCATTGAAGTTTGAGTATGATCTCCATCTTACCCCCAAAATGCAATTCTAAAAAAAAAAAATCGCCCGTCTCCTTATCACCTCACGCTCTGCTTCGGATGAAGCCCCCCGGCCACACCCCTCTCGCTAGCTTGTACAGGCTTTTTTCTTCCCCTCCTGGCCGCCCGATGCAACTGCCCTTCAACATGTTAGTGTGCTCGTGCTGATCAAAAGGTAAACAGGTGGGCACTGACCAACCCGCATCTGTCTCTGCACATCCCTTCAGCGTCGCGAATCACTGTCTCGGCTGGAGTCAAGCGAAACGGCCATCCTCGCCGGCCTCGAGCGAGTCTTTCTTCGATCCTGTCCAATCTACGGCTACTACTGAGCGTACCTAGTTTTCGTCGCTGGCCGCTGACATTGCACTTCTTCGCAAAAGATGTCCACAAGGCATGGCTGCTGTCGTCTGTCGACACGGCCGAGCCTCTGCGAAACACTCTGGATGTGGTCACTGACTTCGGCCCTGACCCTGCGGCATCTTCAGACAACGCCGAGTGGGGCATCCATGCCTTACCTCTAGACTACACACCCATCAAGGAATATGTTGAAAAGGGACAGTCCATCACGACCTTTGAGAGAGAGGGCAACTGTGTCGTATGCGCCGAGGCGCTCCCTCACGGCCAGGGATTGCTGGCTGTATGTCCGAACGAAGGCTGCGAAGGCGTCGGCCATCTGTCATGTTGGAGTCGTCATATACTCCGCAATGAAGGCGAACAGCAAGCGGTCGTCCCCATTCAGGGTCGTTGCCCCCAGTGTGGGGGCCATGTCCGGTGGGCCGCTATGATGAAAGAACTGACGCTGCGGGAACGGGGCGCGAAAGAGATCGATGCCCTTCTCAAGAAAAAGAAGCGGCGAACCAAGTCTTGATAAGATCCAGATGGATCCAGATGGATCCAGATGTGTCAATGATGGATCTGCATTGCAGATTAACCTGCGATGCAACATCTCGGTTGGCCCGTGAATCCAGTTTGCTCAAAACGCCCCGAGTCAGACTGGATTGTCATGATTCGGATGACCAGGAACCACTTTTCGGGTTTTCCGTCAGCAAAGAGGGACGCTGCTTCGGCCAAACGCCGATCTCACTTGACAGCCCAATTGCTACTCTATTATTGTTGCAAAGGATAGTATTGTTTGATCAACACACAGGCTTCCGCTGAAAATTTCGTTGTCACCAGTGGTCGTCAATCTTGCAGGATATTGCTGGAATGTACTGTCGAAATGGCAGGAGAGATTGGTTAGTTGCGCGCCCCAAACCAGACGGTTTGAAACGTCTTTCCGTCCGGATGCAAAGTCAATATTCATCGCTGAGCTAAGTGTCGTTGCTGGGCCCCTCCGGCTTGGGTTAAAGTCAGACACCGAATGATCAACGGCCTGGGGATCTGCAACACCGATATACCCTGACGCCACCATCCAAGACACTAGCTTAGGGCTTGAGGATCCGGCTGCAAACGTGGACGACAAAGGTGTTGATCAGCTCAGGCGTAGCCGCATGGCATACTCCAGACTGCCGACATGGGCACTAGGACTGGTATTTCAGCTACGTACCTCGAATCCAAGAATAAATTTAATGCCCTTAAGGAGATTCTCGCTGTCTCCGAATAATATCGCGAAAGTACTCGTATCTTCAATCTTAAAGATGTGTCCTCATCCAGCCGTGATCTACTGCTGAGCAGCTCGTCTGCAGCGTATGGACATGTGAAGCATCCCGAACTGGATGGATGACACTCGAGGTTGGTCGACCTCAACAACTCTAACGTAGAAGGCAACGTCGCATGAGCGTTTTACGGCTGCATTCGTCCTAGCTTCTTTGTTTCCCCTTATCAAATCCCACCGGCGGAGGCCGAGTTTAGGCTGCGGTCAGAGACGAAAGCGTTATTATCTTCTTTCACATTGTGGCCCCCACCCCCGCCATGCGAGGAAAGCGACTGAAAGCCCACGACGGAACGGGAGGGAATACGGTATTTTATGGGATTCTGGACATATCACGGTGCGGATCGGAAAGTGAGGCTGTGGGCTCTGATAAGTCCTATGCCGACTCCGCGGGGCAAGGGAGGATCCTCACTGTCAGGCCGGCGTGAGTTCCTCTGGAAATCTGGGAGTAACGGGCGTTGGCTAACTTCTCTATTCCTCGACGTCCCTTGGTCAGCTTGGGTTCTCGTGAAGGGGGGTGGGTATCTGACGTTGACTGTGCATCGATACCGGACTGGGGGACTGGAAGGGACGTAGGATTGTCCGGCCCATGAGGGGTTAGCCGCGTGCGTGGATCAGTGGTGACCGTCGCCGTTGAGATTCAGGCCGGAAGTCTCCGTTAGGGTATCATGCGAACACCAACGACCATCTGCGTTTTGTTTGTTTCTGCCCTGGGTGACAGGCTACTGGATATCGATCATACGAACTGAAAGGCATCCATGTGATGAGCCTGCCGTATTTGTTTACAAGCCCTCGGTGTCTGCTGTTCGTCAGGTGAACATGATGCGCCAGATGGAGCCTCCAGCGGACGAAGGTCCGGGTGAGGTTTCTTTCTTTCCCTTCTGGCCCAGGACCAGCGAAAGGAACAACATTATCGGAAGATGACAGAGTACTGTTCTGACAGTTGGGCAAACGAGATGCAAAGTCTCAGGAATATAAGGCTTACTGCTATATCATATGATCTATATACCCTTGTCTCGACCACCGGCGATTCTGTATACAGAGCTGGCGTCTGATTGACTGCAAAGGGCTGTGACATACACTCCTAATGTTGATGGTTTCTTGGAAAGTCCCAAATTAATCATACGCGGTCGTTCCGCCTGACCCCGTTGCACAGGGACATCGGATTGTTATACGTCAGGAAGAGAGACGGGAGACAGGACGCGGTCCCTGTATACCAGGATGACGATTAAGCGAACATTATCGGGCGCCAACAATACTCAGTCCATTCATGCCCTTGCTGCTGGTTCAGTTTGGCTTTTGACTGAAGGACCATCCCGGAGATGGCCACGCCGTGTCTGCCTTGTATCGGTCGGCGGCAAGGAGAAAGGCGTCCCCTCACAAACGGCCCTGAGATCGATAGATTCAGCAGATATTCCAGTCCGTGAGGGTAGTCCAGGTGAGGGCTTTCAGATCCCACTTGTCGGAGGCGGAGTGTGGAGGTCATATTGGGAAAGATGGCATACACATGGTGTTGTAAATTTATGAGTTATATTGGTCTTCAGAGAGAGAATAAAGACCTAGATTCTAGTAGCTAGCTTTTGTCACATATAGTCGTGTCCCGCAAGTTTCATAGATAGTCGTAGGCGAACCTAGTGTAAGGTTTTGTACGACCTTGGTAGTGGTTTCACAGACATGGCTGATACGTCAGTCACACCATTGGGTGACTCGAGCTGCGAAGCTGTCACGACCGAACAGAACCACTGTTGCCAGTACGTTGAAATACAGTCCGGTAGTAACTCTTCTATGTTGTAGCTGACGCTTCTGCCAATGCATAAGCCCGCCAATCACCCTCTTGTTGTTGTTCCTGGGCTTCATTTGAAGCGAAGTCTGAACCAACAGTTTCACTACGATATTGAGTATTTTAACTCGATGAAGATATAGAGATCTAGTAGAGGCTTGAAGCGGCGTTGTATCAGGTTACACAAACTATATCTTTTTCTATGCAGCGTAACTGGGATGGACCGCTTAAAGGGGGCTGTATTGATGACTTAGATCAGATGACGCTCAGTTTTTATGTTTTGAGAGTGTTGTCAGATGCGAATAGGTCTGGATCACCTGCTTCTAATGCGAGGCCGCACGAAAACTGGTTCTCCCCCTATTTTGTCCGGACGAGGAAAAGTGGGCGAGTTCGCGAGGTTGTAGATATCAAATGGCCCCTCCCCCTCGCGTTTCTGCACTCCAAACACGCAACCTATGGCGACCACGGACAGGGAAAGCTTCTAATATATCTTTTGGGCTGGGATCTCCGCCAGTCACGTTACGGAAGCGCGGCTGCGGAAATGTTCGAGGGCTAGCATATTGTCTTAAGCCGCAACCTTACCAACGACCATTTCGGACGCTCTCCGGACCCATGATAACAGGGGATGACTGTGGCCGCATACTCCTGCTGGCACCTCGTAGTATGGGCCAAGGTCATCTTCACCGCTACCCTTCTCATGGCGAGTAGGTATCATACTGTTTGAAGAAAATTATAGTATCCATCTGGTGATATTTTGATGGGAGATATCACCTGGCAGTGGGCTCAGGCCTTCCGTTGTGCGCATCGTACCGATGAGGCAACTGATTGATGGAATGCGAGTGAGAGCCACGTGCACGAGTAAAAATTAGCTCCGTTCTCGTAACTACGATGGGTGCTGTTTGTGTGTATATAAAGCTGGATTGGGGCAGTAAGCATTTGGAACGACACGAGTCAAATTAAAATGAGATGTTAGTCATGGGCTTAATATTTAATAAAATACACAATGCCGGCCGTGGCCCCGGATGGAAAGAAACGGCAGGCCCCATGACTATGATCATGCAGAAGAAACTAAAGAGTGTACCCGAAGCCTCAAGCCATGTGAGGCACTCGAACAATAATGCTGCCAAGCCGCCAGCATGGAGAGGTCATCGTCAGAGATTCGCATCAGATTCGCCAGAGTACGTTGCGATGGACCGTTCCAAGCAACATCAGCCGTCTGATTGACACAGGCTACACTTACGTCGGACTTTTTCAGCTAGATCACTCACAGAAAAGGATATGATAGATACCAAGGCGGATAAACCGTGTCATACGGTAAGAAACAACCATGAATATTGTACCATAACATGGCAATTTTGTTGAGGAGCGTCCAAATGGTGTCTCTCAGCCCAGCGAAAGGTGGACAGTCTTCGTCTCTAATCGCCCTTGCAACCAGAACCCCTTTTTGCAGTCAGCTCCTCGTCAAGCAGACGTTGAAAACTTGTCCAGTCTGACATGGGTGCCATGTCCTACGTCAAGGGCAACCAGCCAAAGGGTCGTATCGTCGGTTGCAGGATCTGAGTCCGTCAACTGATGACTAAGCCGAGGCCGGAGTGTGCGGTGGAAACTGAGCTAGCCGGCTGGCTGGCTGGGAATTAGAAAGGCAAAGGGGGAAAAAGCTAGAGAAGGGGAAAAAAAAGGAAAAAAAGAGTCGACGCCCCCCGCAAACAGGGCACATCCTCGTCCATGGACCGATCTGGGACGCTAGGCGGGTTTCTCCAACGTCATGCTGCCATGATTGGTTCGGTAAGCGATGGAAATTGGCCACCCCCTGTCGAGTCAGTGACCGATATCAGATGTTGGTTTCCTTACGCATGGGCGGAAAGAGCGAAAATGGCGAACAGGGCGAAGAGAGCGGGCGCAGCAGGCAGCCTAGGCTTTTTCCAGTCACGTGGCCTGCGATACCATGCGAATGGCCGCCATTTCCTTTTAAAATCGGGTGCGTTATCCGCTGTATCGGCGACTGCGTCTTGTTCAAATATTGCTTGTACCTACGGCAGATAAGACGACCTTGATCTGACGGCGCAGGGATGACTGCCTTGCCTGAACGTGTCGCATCCAGCATCTCAGCGCACTGCCCGTTCGACCAGTCGCCGGATACATGTCGGACGAGCAGTTCGGGATGGGTATTGAAGCCAAGAATTTTCCTCTTCTTTCTCGACGATGAATTACAGGTATACATCTTGTCCCGTCAAAGCCATTCATTCCACGTCGATAGTGTACGTGTATACTACTGGCAGGCAAAGGCTAAGCGATGATTCCAACAATGTGTGCTGCAGAGGTGGCGACCGTGCACCATAGCGATTCATGGCCCCCCCCCGCCGCGACATCGCCGGCCGATGGTGGTGTGTGTGCTGTGTGTACGGAGTATGCGTGTCTGATGTCGCATGTCGACCGACATGCGAGGTTACATTTGGAGCGTTTGTACCTAGGTACTTCGTGGAAGTGGGAGTGGGATGTACCTTGAAACCAGCAATCGCAATGACGGCAGGGTTGATTCTCGTCAAAGGGAGCGTGTGGGAAATGGCGCAAGGGCTAGTTCTAGTGTACGTAGCATGTAGTAGCTCACCGCTGTCGCCCCCTCAGATTAGTTTTTCCCGGTTCGTATCGTTTCTTGTTGTAGAATAAATACATAGTAAAGCTCGCGAGTAGGTATAGCTTCGGTCGCGTGATTGAGTTTTCAGTTACATACGAACAGCAGTCAAAATGTAGTATGGCAGTCACAGCAGTCAGAGAGCGTTGGGGTGAAAGGCCGAAATAAAAGAGGCGTCGTCTAGTGCAGAGGGAGAAACAAATACCGGTAGATACCTACCCAACTAGGTACGCTAGAGATAGGTAGTTACCTACCTAGGTAAGATACCTGAGGTAAGCAGGTACTCAAGTAATCACTAAACTCCGAGGACGTCATGGACAGAGGGCAACGTACCGGAGAAAGTACTCGGTACTTCCGGAGGGCGACTTGACGTCCAGTATGGACCCACTTGTAGTGGGATTTTGCACCGACAGACGTGAACTGTCCCTTCCGTTCCGCCCTTGCTCGCCCTTGCACCTGCCCCGTGGACGGTGTCGTTACTTCCTCAGAGCCCCAGGTACCTGGGCAGGACCCGTCGAACCTCCGCCCCCGTCGACACTGCTGCTTCTGCTCTGCTCTGCTCTTCCCTTCCTCTCCGTCCTCTCTCTCTGCCTGAAGCTGATATCCCGTCCAACTATTGCTATTGCTTGCCGTTGCAGCTGCCTCTTTCGACCCCATCGCTCCTTCCCGTGCATGCCTGCTTTCCCTTTCCCACACTTTGTTTGTTGCATTGGGGTCATTTGCTCTCGCCTTGCCTCGCCTCGCAATACCTTGCCTTGCCTCGACACCTTTTCTTCTGCCGCACAATTCCCTTTCCCATCCACATTTCTCTCCTCCTGCCTCCTCCTCAATTCCACCCACACTACAACTGAACCGGCAGCTGCCCGTGCATCCATCCATCCATTCTCTCGTCCCTTCCTCTCTCCCCTCCTTGCCATTTCTTTCCGTTCATCCACCCCGCCCGGCTTCCAACTGCACCTTCCCTTCCTCTTATCCACACGATCCCACTTCCACATCGTTTCCTCCCCCAAACCCCAGTTTCCCTCCTACAACCCATCCATCCGTCCCATGACTCGGATCCCCTCCCAATCCGGTCATTCCCAAGTTGTTTAGCACATTCGCTCGTCACAACCGTAAACACACATGTGCGCCATATTCAAACTGGATGCGAGCCACACCTAGTGAGTACTGTACCTTCTCCCAAAGTATACTTTGTCCTCGTCGTCGCCGCCGGCGCCGCCATCAAGAACCTGTTGGTCATCTGCATCTTAAAGTTTGCCGATTGCACCATATATCTGACTTCTTCCGCCTGTCTACTTTTTCAGATCCAACTCTTCCTCACAACATTTGTGAAATGCGCTCTTTTCCCTGACGACGCCTCGAAAAAGAAAACAAGAAAAACACAATCACCGGCCGAACAAATCCACTGCCTCGAACGAAAAGTACCGAGCTCTCGTCAGCTCTGTGATGCGACAGCCCTCCTAGGCTTCCGATATCCGTTCGCTCGCATGATCTGTCACGGCACCAATTCTCTACCCAAAATTTTGTGACTGCGATATCGACGAAAGCGGGACTACTCTGCTATTGCGCCTGTCAAAACATATTTCGACCAACGTCTACCGACAACACCATGGTGTCTGCCCCTACGACGGGCGGCACTGCTGCCGCCAACGGCAACGGATCCGCGAACGCAAGTTCGCGAGCCTCTCCGGCCGTCGGTGCCTCCAACACAGCCTCGGCCAAATCCAAGGCCGCTCAAGTCAACTCTAACGGCTACCACCCCACGAACCCCCAAGTTCCCCTCAGCTCCATGCGAAGCACCCCTCTCGACCTGACTTCGGTAGAGCGACGCGGACAACCGACAGCGATCAAGGAACCTGTCAAGAGGAAGTCCCGCCCTCACGGCCTCGAAGATGCGCCCACCTACTGTCCGACGGAGGATGAGTGGAAGGACCCGATGGAGTACATCAAGAAGATTTCTCCCGAGGCCAAGAACTATGGGTTGTGCAAGATCATCCCACCGGACTCGTGGAACCCGGATTTTGCAATTGATACAGAGGTGGGCTTCACTATTAAGGCCAAGAGGCGTAGGCTTTGATGCCGCGATATGCTGATTGGTGCCGTCACGGGTTCAGTCTTATGCTGACACTGATACAGAGATTCCACTTCAGGACCAGGAAGCAAGAGCTGAACTCGGTCGAAGGAAGTGAGTTGCTGCGAAGTCCATCACCCGACCATGTTCGACGCTAACCATATCAGGCACACGAGCAAACATCTCGTACCTCGACGCGCTCGCCAAGTTTCACAGACAGCAGGGAAATAACCTGCACCGCCTTCCTTACGTCGACAAGAAACCCCTTGACCTCTACCGTCTGAAAAAGGCCGTCGAAGCCCGCGGCGGCTTCGATAAAGTTTGCAAGCTGAAAAAATGGGCCGAGATTGGGCGTGACTTGGGCTATAGTGGGAAGATCATGTCTTCCCTGTCCACGTCACTGAAAAATTCATATCAAAGATGGCTTTGTCCATATGAGGAATACTTGAGGCTCGCCAAACCCGGGGTTCATCAACAACTCGAGTATGAAAACGGCGGCCCCTATACCCCCAGCCCTGCCGTCACTCCCATGAAGCGCTCCAATGTCAATACCCCGTCCAGCGCTCGAGCCGACTCACCCGCCCGCAACGCCTCGGACGCGTTGCAGGCAAGTGTCAACGGCCTCAAGAAAGAGGGCGATCGGGACACCCCTATGGCAGATGCACCGCCAGCATCTACTCCTGTCACCTCAGGCTTCAGAGCAATAAACTCAGGAGGCTTCACTCCGGTCAACTCTGGCTTTAAGAGTGTCAACCGTCCCACACCCCAGGACGACATTGCTAGCACCCCACCACCCAAGTCTTTCAGTCCTGTGAACTCCGCAAAGAACACACCAGATTACCGACCTTCAAACCTAGGTCCTGCTGCGCTCAAACGTCAAATGAGCTGTGACAGCCTTGATTTGGCAAAGAAGGATAATGCAGCAGACAAGGACGACGGCGATGCTGGAAGCAGCAGACGAAGCAAACGTCTCAAGAAAGGTCGGTGACTCTTCACTCTTTTTTCTTTTTGGCACAAGTACCGATCACCGCAACCGTCCCATGTCAGCAGCTGCATTGCCAACTGACTTTCACGGTGGGCGCTGCATGCAGTGAGACACAGCTTTACATGGAATTTTGCAGGGGGGTCTGCGTCGTTTTGCACACCATTTTCCCACCTGATTAATTGTTTCCGCCGTCTGCCGTGCGTTGATTGGCTGCATGACACTTACTAATGCGTTTGAGTTGCAGATACTGTGCCCACAGTGGCTGGCTCTCACATGTCCCTGTTCCGTCCTTCCGTGCCTAGGATTCCCCGAGACGAGGCATCGACCCCTGGCGAGGTGAGCCGCAATGCATCATATCGAGTACCAGTTCAAGATATTGACCATCAGCAGAAATGCGAGCAATGCTGCAAAGGCGACGAGAGTAGCCCCCTGATCGTCTGCGAGTCCTGCGACCATGCCTACCACGGCACCTGTCTAGACCCTCCGTTGAAACACAAGCCCGACTCGGAATGGAACTGTCCAAGATGTCTCGTTGGCGATGGTCAATATGGTTTTGAAGAAGGAGGCCTATACTCCCTGAAGCAGTTTCAGCAAAAAGCGGCAGACTTCAAGCAAGGCTACTTCGAGAAAAAGATGCCGTTCGATCCGGTCCTCAACTGCCACCGTCCGGTAACTGAGGAGGATGTTGAAACTGAGTTCTGGCGCCTTGTTGCTGATATCGAAGAGACGGTTGAGGTTGAGTACGGTGCCGACATTCATTGCACAACTCACGGATCTGGTTTTCCGACGGTCGAGAGACATCCTAACAATCACTACTCGACTGACCCCTGGAACCTCAACTTGCTCCCTCTCCACCCCGAGAGTTTGTTCAGGCATATCAAGTCTGATATCTCTGGCATGACTGTGCCGTGGGTGTATGTTGGCATGATATTCTCAACCTTTTGTTGGCACAATGAGGACCACTACGCCTACTCTGCCAACTACCAGCACTTTGGCGCAACAAAAACGTGGTATGGTATCCCGGGTGAGGACGCTGAGAAATTTGAGGCCGCGATGCGCGAGGCTGTCCCCGAGCTGTTTGAGACGCAGCCCGACCTCCTCTTCCAGCTGGTCACTTTATTGACACCTGAGCAATTGAAGAAGGCTGGCGTTCGAGTCTATGCCCTAGACCAGCGTGCAGGCCAGTTTGTCATCACCTTCCCGCAAGCTTACCATGCGGGCTTCAACCACGGATTTAACTTTAACGAAGCCGTAAACTTTGCCCCATGCGACTGGGAGCCTTTTGGCCTCGCGGGCGTGGAGAGGCTGCAGGTCTTCCGCAGACAGCCCTGCTTCTCGCACGACGAGCTGCTTTGGACAGCTGCTGAGGGCACAACGAACAACGGGCTCACGATTCAGACAGCCAAATGGCTTGCTCCGGCACTTGATCGGATCAAGAAACGGGAGTCGGCGCATCGAGCTGATTTTGTGGCGAAGCACCTTGAGTCACAGTGGCACGACTGCGGCTTGGCCGGAAAAGAAGGCACCTCTTGTCCTTTGAAATTCGAGATTGACGACGCCGACGTTCCTGAGGAGGAATACCAATGCTCCTATTGCAAAGCATTCACCTACCTATCTAGGTTCAAATGCCTCAAGTCGGGCAAGGTCCTGTGCCTCGAACATGCAGGCCACCAGCCATGCTGCGGCATGCCCGAGCAGCAGCGGATGAACGGCGAGGGCCACGCCGTTATTTACAGGCAATCCGAAGAAGACATCGAGGCAACATATGCGAAGGTCCTCGAAAAGGCGCGCACGCCGGAGGCCTGGGAAGAGAAGTACGAGAAGCTTCTGGAAGAAGAGGCCACGCCTTCTCTTAAGACTCTTCGGAATCTCCTACACGAGGGTGAGAAAATACCCCATGACCTGCCCTCACTCCCTTTGCTTCGGGAATTTGTCGAACGGTGCAACGACTGGGTGGACGAGGCCACCAACTACACGATTCGGAAGCAGCAGAATAGGCGCAAGAGCGAAAAGTCCCTCCTGAACCGGAAGAACTCGCTGGACCAAAAGGAACGCGATGCGCGCAATGTCTCCAACGTGTACCGTCTTCTCAGCGAGGCTGAGCAAATTGGTTTCGATTGCCCCGAGATCACCCAGTTGAGGGAGCGGGCCGAGGCCATCGAAGCCTTCCAGAAGAATGCAGCTAAAGCGCTGGAACAGATCCACCTCGCCGAGCTCTCCGAAATCGAAGACCTACTTGAGGAGGGCCGGACGTTCAACGTCGACATGCCGGAAATCGACCGCCTGTCGCGAGTTCTCGAGCAACTCAAGTGGAATGAAAAGGCCAGGAACAACAGAGGCGTCCTCCTGTCACTCAACGAAGTGCGCGAGCTCATCGAAGAGGGAAAACGCCTGGACATCCCGCCCTACAACGACCACCTGTCGTATTACATCGACCAGATGAGCCTTGGCCAGCAGTGGGAGAAGAAGGCCCGAGAATTGATCGTTGCCGAAGTTGTTCACTACCCTCAGCTGGAGGCTTTATCGATGCAGGTCACCGCCAACTTCCTACCTGTCTCGGCAGATACCTTGGCTGCCGTGGATCAGATCCTCTACAAACAGAGAGAGGCCCACCGCCAGATCGTGGACTTGACTGAGAGGTCACGCGACCCCGACATCCGGAACCGGCCCAAGTACGCTGAGGTCGCCGAGATCATGCGCCGGCTCGACGACTTGAACTCGAAGCCCAATGGCACGCTGGACCTAGAGCGTGAGCAAAAGCGGCACGAGGACTGGATGCGAGAGGGCAAGAAGCTTTTCGGCAAAACTAATGCGCCTCTCCATATTCTCAAGAGTCACATGGACTACGTCTTGGAGCGGAACCAAGACTGTTTTGACATTGTCAACGACAAGCCTCGCATGCCTGCCGAGCCCGCGTCGAGAGAAGCCAGCCCAGACCAAAAAGTTCACCGGTGGGAAGACCCTCGCTTCCGCGAAGTGTTCTGTATCTGCCGAAAAGTGGAAGCAGGTATGATGATTGAGTGTGAGCTCTGTCATGAATGGTACGCGTTGTCCTGGCCCTATAATAGACCAAAGCTAACATGTGCACAAGGTACCATGGAAAGTGTCTCAAGATTGCTCGCGGAAAGGTTAAAGACGAGGATAAGTATACCTGCCCGATATGTGACTGGCGTGTCAAGATCCCGCGAGATGCTGCCCGACCAAAGCTCGAGGAGCTTATTACTTGGTCTGAGAAAATTCCAAGCTTGCCTTTCCAGCCCGAAGAAGAGGAGGTTTTGACAAAAATAATCGACAACGCCCAAGACTTCCGGAATCACATTGCCGGGTACTGCAACCCGCTTGTTTCTACCGAGTCTGAGGCGGACACACAGCGGTTTTATCTGCGCAAGATCGAGGGTGCCGAAATCTTGCTTGCCTACGAGACGAACTTTTTCCGACAGGAACTGCACAAGTGGTGCCCAGTCGCACCCAACGCACCCCCGGTCCTCGAGGTTTCCAAGAGCACACGCAAGCCACGCCCGACCAAGCTCCAGAAGCTTTTGGCCCAATTCGGCGTCGACGACCCCGAGGACCTTCCGGAGAACATGAAAGCCAAGGCTGCCAGTTTGAAGCGGAAAGCACAGAATGCTGAGGCCGCCGCTGCTGCGGCTGCGGCTGCGGCGGCATCATCCATGACCGGCGCGACCGTGCCCCCGGGCATGTCAGGCAACAGCCGCAAGTCGGAGCAGTCGTCGGCGACACCTCCCAGTACTTCTCATGGCAACGTGGGCCGCCAGTCTATTGGCAGCAACCACGACCCCATGGATATCGACAACGGCCCGACGCTTCATCCAGGCTTGTTCATGTCCAATGGTGCACCAGGCCCGCAGCTTGTTGTCGGCAGCTCGTCACTTTCCCTCGAAGAGCGCCTGCTTCAGGGCCAGGAAGATGGGCTTAACCTGCACACCGACGCTGGGAAGAGTAAGGCTCTCGAGATACTGCGTCGGACCGAGGTTGGCCGGAAGCGAGCGGTAGAGATGTTTGGCCCCGACGTCTTCAAGGGCGATGTTGGCATGCTCAATGGCAGAGACGATGCGCCTCGGTCTCAAGAAGAAGAGCGAGCGGTGAACAAGATGTTCGACGACCTCACAAACCAAGATGATGACGACGTCAAGAGGAAACAGGAGTCATTCGATGGCCCCATTACAGCGGAGAGCCTTGAGAGCGAGCGAAACGGCATGGATGCCTTGCTTGACGGTGATTAGGATCTCCGCCCCACTGTTGACTATGCTGCCTTGTCTTATTTCGACTACAGCAGTTTCAACTTTTGAAACAAGGGCGTCATTGGTGTTGTACCTGGTTTTCATTCGTGATAGGAGTTTGGTATCGGGACTCGACAATTCCCTCAAGCCAGGGAGGGGAAGGGGGGGCTTAGGAACTGGAACCGAATCCGATGGGTGGGTTGCATGATCAGGTGTTCAAGGTTACGGCATACCACTTTGCATTAGATGGAGAAGGGCGTCCTTTGAGGATGCCAGATGCGTAAGTCAGTTACGGCTGTCAGTAATCGTGCCTCGCATCAGCACAGAAAAGTTTGCAGACACGAGAAAAGTAGTTTTATTCTCAAGGCTAATGAACACAAGTGCCTTGTTGTGGTTTACAGTTACTCCTTTGCTTTTTACACTTACAGGGCACCGACAGGCGCTGGACTACCTTGCTCCCGCAAGAGGGATGGAATCATATTAGACTACTGTTCCGTTCAAGTGGTGTGGTGCCAGAACTGTCACGCGCAGAGCATTAAATCTCAAGACAACGGTTTCCTCCTGATAACAGGCGACCCTATCACTAGGTTGGGTAACACAGCGTGAATTGGTAAGGCAACATGGGTCAAAGACACATAGCCTATTGTATTTGCAAGAGTCGGTCAAAGCCACAAACGCAGCTTTCCATGGAAACCTGTATGCTTGGCTTAGTGAAGTCATTTTTGGAGGCCCTAGTTTAGGCAGGTATCATGCACGGGAGCAGAGCGATCCCCTGTATAATACGGATTGTGGGAAATCACGGCAAAATCAACAGTGTATAAGCCATCCAAAGTGCCTATCTGGTAGCTGCAGATGCCACTGACACGAGCTCAGAAGCCCTGCACAGCAGAGGAGACACTATTATCTTCCCACAGATTACAAAAGAAACATTCAATCAAGACGAAAGTATGTAGATGCCTATAAATGAAACGGCTTCTAGACGGCTGCAAACCAGAACCCGAGATCAACGAAGGATCCATTCCCAGAATTACTCTCCGGCCACCCTTCAGCCCAAGGGCTTTTACCAGCAGCGCCTTTCATGGGTACCATCCTCCTCCCAAGGGAGTTGGAGGCACCATTAGTTATGCTGCGGCGGGCGGCCGTTGCTATCTGAAGAGAAGAAAAAGAAGAAGGAGGGAGGGAAGAAGCCGCGGAGAGGCGCGCTGGTTTTGTGGCCGAAGGAGAAAATTTCCGAGGGGGCACGTGCACTGTGGGCTGCTGCTTAGCTAAGGTAACAGCGGCTCTGGGCAAGCTTTCATTCTGTTTTGGCGCAAATCACGTGGCGTGCGAAGCTTAGGAAATAGTCTTTGCTGATTGGTCGACCGCAGCCGAAAAGCCGAGGGGGTTTCCGTGCTTCGCTGCCATCGGGAGGCAGATGAGCAGCGCCAGAAGGGTCTCCATTTTATTCTTGGAGAGAGAGCTTGACATCAACACAATATCAACTTCCCCGACGATATCCCGCTCCGAACGCTCGTCCACGAAAGAGCGCCCCCTGCCGACGCGAACGAATCTCTCTGAGTTCGAATCACTGCTGAAAGAAACACATCAAGCCCCACGACACACATATCCATCATGATTGCGCAGCGGGTGGGCGTGTCGGCCCTGCGCCGAGGTTCGTCTACATTATTGGAAACGTGAAGAGAGAATAGAATCAATGGAAGGCTGACGATGTGGTTTCGGTACGGCAACAGCGGCAGGAAAGCCCTCCGTCTTCTTCAACTCTCAGATCCCCAAGATCGTCGCCGCGTCGCACATGTCGACGACTCAGATCCGGTACGCAATTGACCCCTTCCCCCCCAACACTGACGCAGTCCCGTCCAACATTGGAACATTGGCACATGAAGTCGCAGGCCACTGACTGTCCACGTATCACAGCCCCGTCGCAACCACCAAGCTCAACCCCGACGACGGCCTCGAGCTCCTCGCCAAGCAGCGCCTCAACCGTCCCGTCTCCCCGCACTTGTCCATCTACAAGATGGAACAGACGTGGTTCGGTGCCTCCATCTGGACCCGTATCACCGGCGGTGGCCTGTCCGCTGCCTTTTACGTCTACTTCGGCACCTACCTCGTCGCGCCCCTGCTCGGCTGGCACGTCGAGAGCCAGTCGCTCGTCGCCGCCTTCGGCGCTCTGCCCCTCGCCGCAAAGGGCGGCCTCAAGTTCCTCGTCGCCTGGCCCTTCACCTTCCACTTCTTCAACGGCATTCGCCACCTGACCTACGACCTCGTCAAGGGCTTCAGCAAGCCCGATATCGTCCGGTGGGGCTGGATCATCTGGTCCACCTCGCTGGTCTCCGCCGCCGGCCTGGCCTTTGCGTGGTAGACGGAGCGAGACACGGGGAAGAGCCTAGACGGGAGGTGACGCAAGGCTCGAACTACAGGAGTCTTGTCTGCGAAGTTGGTAATGGGGGTGATGTGGTGAGGTAGAAATTGGGGGAGGCTGGGGGAGTTCTGATTGGTTGGCGCCTGGGACGGCTGGGCGTACGGCCTCTTCCCTTATGCTTAAGGCGAGGGGAATTGTATAGAGTGAAAATTGTAAAATGAATTCCCTTGAGTAACAAGCACGTTAATCAATTGTTCAACTATGGCGCCTTGTTGACAAACCGCCGTGATCATACTTGGGGTGGAGAAGCACTGGTGCGAGTGATGAACGCTACGAAAAGTTACGACCAAGAATGTCACGCTCTTCAAATCCTTTCAGCGACATATGGAAGGAGAGATAGAAACATATTGTGATCGTTGCTTCAGGCGAAGCAGATCTCGAGATCCAATTACAGGGCCTTTCTCCCTGGCAATGTCCTACAATTCCCAAGTATCTATCTTTTTCTGTAAAGATACTGAGCGACTACCTTTATCAACTACACGCCCCGCCCTACTATCACATGACGATGGCACATAACGTGGGACTAGATGTATGTCGAGCAAATCAATTTAGCGTTTGTGCACCGCGTCGCAATTTATGTGGTATGCCTCCCTGGATCCTATTTTACCCTGCCCAAATCCAAACGCCGTGACGCCTCTTTCGAAGAACAACCTCTGCAGGCCCTCATACTATTCAATATTTCTGGCATCCAGGACGTGTTTAATCAACCTCCGGTTGCCCATGCTGTTGAGCCGCTCGCCCAGGATGGGGCCGATGAACTCGTTGAGCTCGGCGGCGTAGTTGCCGCCGGTGCCGTTGATGCCGTTGACGGTCGCCCTGTCGTCCTCGGTCATGGTGGCGATGGCCTTGAGGATGCCGCCGACGAGCATCTCGAACTCGACGCCCTCGCCCTTGTCCTTGAGCGGCTGCAGGATGTTGTCGTGGTACGCCCGCAGGCACTTGAGGACGAGCACGCGCACCGCCTCGGGCCCACCGGCGGCGGCGACGCCGGTGATGGCGCCAAAGTGCGTGGCGGGCGGCTTATCCGGGTCCATGAAGAACTTGAGGCACGTCCGGACAAGCTTGGGTCGGAGCAGATTGTTGGAGGCGGCGTACTTGCGGGCGATCTGGCCGAGCAGCGAGGCCGAGAACTCCCTGAGCTGGTACTGCTCCCGCATGGCGTCGGCGGCGGCGTCGTCGCCGCCGATCTTGCGGCCGAGGATGCACGTCAGCACGGGGGCGGCGATGGCGTTGGCGTAGGGGTCGAGGTAGAGCTTGGTGTTGGCGATGAGGGCGGCCGTGAGCTCCATGGCCTGGCGGAGGGTGAAGACGTCGTCGAGGCGGTGTGTGACTTGGTTGGCGACGAAGTTTATAAAGTAGGGGATCAGCTGGTGCAGGCCAGGGTCGTCGCGGACGGACTCGAGGGCGGCCTGGCGCAGGCGCACAACTTCCTCGTCCGGGTTGTCGTCGAGGAGGGCGTTTTGGACCTTTTCGAAGTAGAGGATGAGCTCCTTGGAGACGACGTGCTTGACGGCCGGGCGGAAGGAGACGCTGTCGTTGCCTGCGAGGGCGGCAAGGGCCGGGTTGGCGCCGGGGCCCTTGGGGACGAGCTCTTGGCTCCGCGACTCGGCCGTCGTCGGGTTCTGGGGAATTGACGGCTGGACACCTTCGATGGCGAGCCAGTGTGCTGTAAAAATTGAAAGAGAGGTTAGCACAGATACTCGATGAAAATCGGAACACGACTCGCGAGGAGGGAGAGGGAAGGCGCGCACCAGTAAAGCTCATATCTCTTGGCACTTTTGGCAGGGGCGCGTTGATGAGCTTCTCAAAGTCGACCTCCTCGTCCTCGATGTAGAATAGCGGCTGGCCGGGGCCAAGGCTGGCCTCGCCGTAGCGCAGCGGGCGCGTCGAGTCGTAGCCGTACAGTGGCTCTATGTTGAGGGCCTTGAGGGCGGTCCTGATGTCGTTGACGGTGAGGGTGGTGCGGCGGGAGGCGCGCATGAAGCGGAGCGCCTCGACGAGGACTTGGCCGATGCGGTACTCGACATCCTGGGTCAGGCAGCGCAGCGCGTCGTCGTTGAGGTTGGTGATGCCGACGGACTCGGCAACGTCCCTGACATTGTCCGGGTTCCAGAGCAGCTTTGGCGAGTCCTGGGTCGCCATCGCGCCTTTGCTCGTTACTGGGTCGGCGAGGTGACTGATTGTGGCGAGGAGTGTTGGTGGTGTTTGCGGCACGGGGAGGGGCAACGCGCGGGTTGAGAATTGGACGAGGCTGATGCGGATCTGAAAGTTGGGGTAGCACGAGCGCGGCGGAACTGCTAGCGAGCTCGGGGACGGTGGGTGCAGGCAAGATTCAGACATGGTTGACGGCCCGGCCGCTCGGGGTGGGGCCACGCTATGTACCTAGGTACTTCGGAAATTGCTCGCATCTGGCCTTCCTTCCTCCCTCCTTCTAGCTGTGGCCGCTCTTAGTGAAGCCCGAGAAAGGGCATCAAAAGATATTATGAATGAATTGTGTCATTTTTGTCATAAAAAAGTCCATTGCTCAAGGAGAAGCACACCTCCTGTATATAGCATAAGTCTCAAGTGACACCTGTGGAAGCTGAAGGGACCCCTTATCAAGGTGCAATGTCATACAGGGCATTAGGAAATGGAGATGTTTCATCTTGTTCACTCATAAAAAGCCGAGCCTGAGGGAATATAACTGTCGTCAACTATATTCACTGTGTTCTGCTTCGAAGATAAGGGGTACTGTTTGCGATTTTGGTCCACATCAAAATGGCTTGTAAAGAGATCATGAATACTCTTGTCCTGAACGACTCGCTACACACCCAGCACACACCTTCGAAGGATTTAGGAACGCTGTGTGAAATATCGTAGTAACTCAAATTCGAGGATTCCAGTGCATTTGCATACCATGCTCACTTTTCGGGTTACAAAGTTAACATGCCAGACAGCTGAGCAATAACACCATTGGCAACCAAAGAACTTCTAGTTATATCGATGAGTGGAAGAAGGCAGGAACTATGCAAGGCATTATAGTCGAAAGCTAAGACAAAAATATTGTTGTTTGATTCGAGAACGACTCTGTTCCTAATGTACCCAGGAAATACCTCAGCGAACACGGTTCGGAGGGTAGTATAAGCTCTTACTGTTAAGGTTCTATTGACGTGATACGTTGGGGAAAAAGGTCGTTTGTATGCAAAGATGCTCCATTTTGAATATGTAACTAGGTGATATAAGACGTTGAAAACTGCCCGTAATTGACGGCGTCGTTTCCGTGCGACAGAATATCATATGATCAAAAAATCGAATAGTGGCATCATATTTAGTATAGAGCTATAAAAGTTTGGGCGATTTTTGTTGCGTTATGATCAGATTGAACATTCACAGCACGCGTGTGTTGCTTTTGCATCTTGGGATGAACGGTAAACTGCGAGGTTGAGTTGGGATGAATCTAGTATTCAAATTGCATCATGATTCGGGACCCCGAACTCGTTGTTTACTTGAGTCGACGAGGTCTCCCAATCCAATCCCATCTCTGTTCGAGCGCCCGGGATTTTCAACTTGCTCATATAACCTGTCAAGACCCCAGACAGTACTTACCACACAAGCCAAGACGGCAAACTCCATCAGCATAGACATGAAAAGGTAAGTTGTCGTGTCGCCGTCCACAGCGCTAAACCTTCTGGCGCCTGTACTGACATAGGCTATCGTATATGAGATTCGGACAACCATAAACGGGAAACAGGAGGCGAAGCCAATCAATGAACGCCTTTCAGACTGAGGAACCTGCTTCCACTTCCGCGCTAGGAGTATAAAAAGCAGCACTCCCCAGAAGTAAAGTGCTGCAAAGAGCCCTACTCCAGCTTTGGTCAGCGACCCAGGCGCCATGGCGTTGTCTGTTTTTCTGCTTGCAAGAACGTAGTCGGCGATCGAAATGGCGAGGCCGGTCCAGCAGATTAGCTCGGGTATGTGGAAGTGCCACGGGGTGAGGACTTGGATGAACGAGTTTCTGCAAGATCAGAAGTCAGAAGTCCATAAGGTTTACAAAGAATGCTGGTAAAATAACAAATACTTACACCCTCTTCAGAAGATTTAGCAAAGTGAAAGTGAGGAGGACGAGTCCTAGTGATTCGCAGACAAATATGGTAGCCCAGACTGCCCTAGAATTGTTGGTGATTGTGCCTAGCATGCAACCAGCGCCGATTATGCGTATTGTCTAAATGAAAGAAACCCCGAACCAGCCCATCTTCTTTTGCACGCGAAAAAGAATGCCGAAAGCAAGAAACAGGGAAAATATGATAATCTGAGCGATGGCCACGCCGTCGCGGTACCGGAATTCGCGCGCCATGTTGCGAAGATAATGGGCACCAGCAAAGTCCGCAATGTCAATGTGCTCACCGTCACACAACAAGACGAAGCCGGGATAGTGTAAGATGGAAACGCAAGAAAGAGTTTGGTCTAAATATCCTCTTGAGGATCTTCGAGGGCGGCCACTAGACTTTTGGAGGCACGTATTTAAATCATTAACGCCCGCCGGGGAGGCCGCTCGAGAGTCCACAAATTGAATAAACGGATGCGAGTGCGAGAGTGCAGGCAACTTGGCGCTTACAGTTCTTAACTCACCCAGGAGTAACCAGTTATTTTGACCGAGACGGCCTTGGTATTTCAAAGCGGGCTTCGACCCGTTGTAGCCCGCCCTGTCTTGCTCAGCCATGCTGACGGATCTGCATCCTGTTGGATTGGATTGATTGGGGCATACAAGCCGGACACAGCCATACCTTGTCCCGCATCTGTCATCGCATTTCAGGAACGGATCAACTGCTGAGTAATTTGTCGAGACGATACGAGTGTAGTTGGGTTGGTGCATTGACTACCAATCGGGCGTACGTAGCTTGGAATCGTTACCTTCAGAAACTATCAGCCATCGATGCTTTGGGTTAAACTAGAGTTCAATTGGCATTCGTGATTGATATCTAAGATATCCGCCAAGATCGAAAATCGCCATAATTGATCTACGACGTTGAACCCTGCCTGTTATTAGCGGCATCGGGTCTGCGTGATATAGACAGTCTTTGTAGTTGTATCAACGAATTCACGATGGTAGACCAATTATTGGTTAAACTCTGGGAAGAACAGTTGGTTTATGATTCTACGTACAGCTTTCTCATTGTTTCTTGCCTACAGAGTTGAAACCTTCAGATCCCAACTCCAAATGCCTTATTTCTATAGAAGAATACTGAGTTATTACTAATAAAGCTGCTCCATGCTGGCGTCATTTCTTGACAAGACGTATAAGACGCTGCATAAGTTGCCTTCCATATGCAGTTCCATGGTTTCCATCTACTCCCATTTAATGTTCTCGTGAATCATCTTTGCTTTACCTGATTAGTCGGCAGGACCTTTGCTTTGATGCCACACCCTAAATACTATTGGGAAAGCTTCTGCAAATAAACTCTCCTGCGTGCAGTTTGTGACATCTCGCGACTTGATTGACTTTATGGACGGCCATGGACTCTAGCTGAGCCGCTTTCTTTTGCTGCACTAATGTGTGATTCCTATATAATCGAGGCAATCTACCTAATCAGTGGTAGTAGCACGGAAGAAAGTTTAACGAGGAGAGCGCAAAGGGGAGGGTTGGAGAAACAGGGGGAAAGGATGCTCAACTCTGGAAAAGGACTGTACATCAGTATGATCGATAGTATGAATCTGCTTCCATGTAGAAAGTTGAGGATTAAGTCTCTCCTACTATTTCTACTGCTATTCCCTCTTTGAATAAGGTATGTTATGTTACAACACGTAATATCGAAGGTCTTTGTCTTTAGACTCTGTATGATATTAGCAACACTGCTTGCTGCATAATGGAATGCTAGAAGTTCCCGATATCATGTGTCCACGCTAAGGGCGCTCCTGAAGAAGCCACAATTGCAGGGGTTATTAGCTCAAGCTTTGATAGAAATATAATCCGAATGCACGCTTGGACGAAACCAAGCGATCGCAAAATGCATCCCCCATATCCGTATCTTTCGTGGAATTTAGAGCTAGCGTCATGCCTCACTAAGACAAACAGGCCGCTGGCATGCTCGCTAAGATAAGAGTCGCGGGGTCTTCAACAATGGCGCGCAACTAGTTTCCCCTATAGTCAGCCCCTTTCGGCCATTGGATGTGGAGCGGATCAGCGGCATTCTTTTATAAGAGTACTGTCCTGCTGTCTCTTGGTGTGGACTCCAATTTTCATCATTGCGGAGTCAGTACATTCTCGCCAGAGTATCCCATCGACACCTTATTCTGCGCTACCAGCTCGAGGTGCAATTGGTGAGATGGAAGCACCAAACCACGAAGCTGGTGGCCCAAAGCGGGATCACCGACGGACATCAGATCAAGGGAGCAGTGGAAGTGTCCGCATTGAGCAGTTTGCGACACCAACAGTTGACGGTGCTGGGCCCAATAGACTGACAGCCGCTGCGCTTGGCGTGCTGAACGCTTCGAATGTTGACAACGGGGCTCCCGTGTCGTTAAGCATTGATACTGGCCTTAGCGACGCTGATTCAGCTTTGGGTATCGATGCCGATAGAGCTTCTTCATCTGCCTCAGTGACATCGAGCATGTACAGGTTTGTAGAAGAGTTTGGCAGGACGTATCACAGATACAAGGAAGGCAGTGAGCTAGTACCATGGAAGACCGCCTCCGTATACCTGACTAACAACAAGCTTCAGAATATTTCCTCCCAAACGATGAGGTTTGTAATGCTGCAAAGCCCAGCAGACCCTGATGACTGATTTTTAGTTAGAAAGAACAAAGCCGCCTGGACCTACAGCATGCAATTGCCCTCCGTATTTTCAACAACGAACTCGGCCTGGCTCCCGTCTCTAAGCCCCACCGCGTCCTCGATATCGGCACCGGGACGGGCATCTGGGCAATAGAGTTCGCAGATAGAAACCCGGAATCAGAAGTGGTGGGCACCGACCTCAGCCCGATCCAACCCGAATACGTCCCCGCCAATTGCCGTTTCGAGATTGACGATGCAGAGGACGAGTGGGTCTTCGGGCAAAAGTTCGATTACATCCACGGCCGGTACATATGCACTTCTATCTTTGATCTTCCGAAACTGTTCGGTCAAGTGTACGACAACTTGAATCCAGGTGGATGGGTCGAATTCCAGGAGACGGTGATCGACTTCAAGGCTGTGGATGACTCTCTGGAAGGCACCGCGCTCAGGCGATGGAATGACCATCTTCTGGAGGGCATTCGGAAGGCTGGACGTGATGCGCTATCGCCATTCGAATATGCGAGGTACATGACTAGTGCCGGATTTCAGAATGTTCAGGAGAGACGCTTCGCAGTGCCAACTTCCCCCTGGGCGCGAGGCAGAAACCAGAAAATCCTGGGCGCCATGCAGATGACGAACAACCTCGAAGGAGTGCAAGGCATCACAATGAAAATCTTCACCCAAGTGCTGGGCTGGTCTCAAGAGGCAGTCGAACTATTGCTCGTTGAGGTGAGGAGGGACATGGCAGACAAGAAAATCCATGCGTACATTACGGTGTGAGTTTCCCTTTCTCAGCGATATCGACAATATTGGTGATACAGACTAAAAGCTGTATGCAGCATGTCTGTATGGGGACAGAAACCTCGGTAGACGGGAATGCCAGCTTCCTCTAAAGGCGATTGAGGGGCTGTCAAAGCATAAGTTACGCGGAGGAGCTCAGGAGGCCATGGAAAGTGCGCCATTTGTTTACAGAATGCAGTGCTTTCAAATCATGGCGCCAAGCACTTGAGGGAACCATGCATTCTCTAGAGGATAGAAAGAATAATCCTGATATATCCTCAAGTGCTGAGAAAAGTGAATGACCTATTTCCTATTGGAAAAATGTATGGATCGGGATAGTGTCTGGTACGTTGAGTAATTTTACGAGTGTGACACGAGACATATCATCTTCACTGCCACTGTGGCGTCTGCCATCCAATTCAGAGCCTAGGTTGTGCCACATTATGCAAACATCTTTCATATTTTATGCTTCACGCTTGAACTCAAGAGTTACCTGGGGCGCTGATTGCTACATATCACGAAGGCATTTTCCACCATACCACGCAAGGTGGGGAGCACACGGATACCCACAACATTAGGGGTCAACTGTTCACAAAGCAATTTGAAGCCGAGGCTAATCCATACTCAGAACAATTTTGTCTGCACCAGCGGCGACATTCATACCAAGCAGGCAGATTGCCCACGGACAGAGTGCCAGGAACGGCAGCAAAGCCGGGTCTCTCGACGTTGGATAGGATCATCGGCGTTATGACGATGTGCCCCATCGGCATTAAGGACTACCTACCTCTCGTGCCCTCTTACTAAGTCAACCGATCGCTGTTAACCCCACTCGCTGTCAACGATCAATCCACCCCGCCGTCATCCTCCCGCAACCAAGCCCAGGACCCCTGATCCCGTAGCTGCTTCTGGTAAGGCATGGAAGCAGCCGGAGAGTCTATTCGTCCGTATGCTTTGTCAACCCAGCGTAAAGATTCGAAAAGAAATGTGGAGTTGTGCCTTTCCCTCCAGCTGCTGAAGAAATTTTGGCGGGGTTCCCACGTCAACGAAGACATGTCAGGGTCCCCATGGGACAAACTGAAAAGAACCACATGGTTGTGACGTCAAGCTGATCAATTGGCCCCGAGAAGCAGTCATTTTCCGCACTACATTCCGCGGTCCCTTTTCAGCTGGACAAGTTCCTTGATTCCGATTGTGGGGTAATTGACCAGAAATAGCATGACCAAAGGGTCGATCGAACTATGGTGGGTTTCGATGCAAGTACAAAAGCGCCCAGCACCCCGCCTGACATGACGCACCAGTTCTAGCAATAGGATCTCGAACATCATTGAACGCAACACACAAGATACCCCCAGTTACCCAAACATTGAGCTTTCAACCTGTGCCAAATAATTAATCCAAGCATCAAACACAATGGCCCCCAAGGTTCTCGTCGTTCTCACCTCTACCAACAAGACTGAGAAGTCTGGTAAGCCCATCGGCTGGTACCTGGTGCGTCAATGCTCTTCCATCCCCTATTCAGTCGTTACTAACTATCAACTTCAGCCCGAGCTTGCCCACCCTTATGACGTTCTCAAGGAGGCCGGCGTTGAGATGACCTTCGCCTCTCCCAAGGGCGGTGTCGCCCCCCTTGACCAGGCCTCTGTTGAGATGTTCTCCAGCGACCCATCATCCAAGAACTTCCTCGAGAACCACAAGGACGTCTGGGAGAACACCGAGCCCCTGTCCAAGTTCGTGGGTCGCGCCTCCGAGTTCGACGCCATCTTCTACCCCGGCGGCCACGGCCCCATGTACGACCTCGCTTTTGACGCCGATTCGCACAAGCTCATCGCTGAGTTCGCCGCTCAGAACAAGCCCATCGCTTCCGTCTGCCACGGCCCCGCCTCCATCGTCAACGCCAAGACCAACGACGGCGAGTACCTCATCAAGGGCAAGAGAGTCACTGGCTTCTCCAACACCGAGGAGGACCAGGCTGGCTACACCGCCGAAATGAACTTCTTGCTTGAGAACCGCCTCAAGGAGAACGGCGGCAAGTACGAGAGTGCCGATGCCCCTTGGGGTGAAAAGGTTGTTGTTGACGGCATCGTCATCACTGGCCAGAATCCTGCTTCTGCCCTCGGGGTGGGCAAAGCCGTTGTCAAAGCTCTTGGCTTGTAATAGATGAGTGTAATGATACAATGATGAATCGGGTTATGATGGATAGTTATTATACCATAAATTGAAGCGTCTTTTCATGTATTCTTTTTTTCTGAAAATGATTTCACGTATGATGAAATGAAGCTCGTCGACATCAACGATGAGCGAAGCACCGATTTCGGCTTTCCGACATCTTCATTTGAAGTTCCGGTATCGAAACGCTGGCAAATACGAGAAGTGTGTGACGGCTTTTCCATAACATCGAAGCAATACACTACTAGCCTGTAATGGGAGCGAAAATCAGTTCACTACAAATTGGTTTAGACAAGAGCTCAAAGAAGTACGATACAATGCCGAATGCTTGTTCATCGCTTGAACCTATCTTGGCAAATATCAAACCTTCTGGACTTATCGTTTGCTTTCGCCACATTATGATAACGTGGATACCATGCAATGAGTCTACGCCCTCGCCAGATGACAGTTATCGTAACAGAGTCAGAGAGAACACGGCCACGGTAACCCGCACACATCAACCAACTCGAGCAACAGCTGTTCCTCGGGCGGTATCAGCCCCGCATAGCGCCAGGAATTCCGAGAACAAGGTATGGGTGCGGAAAATAAGTTATTTGTAGGTGAAGAGGCGCTGACATATATCTGGAATACATGTGTTATGCCGAGGAAAGTGTGGTATCAAGGAACTTTGTCTTAACTACTCAGCGCACGAATAACGCATTCAATTAAGCATACTATGTTTGGCTCTAGTCAAATGAGGCTGAATATCCCCAAAGAGGGATATCTTATTTCGATCATGAGCCGTCTAATACCAAGCTGGGAAGCGTGTGTAATATGAAGAACCGCCGCAAACGGTCCGGTGGGATTGAGAGCCATGGTTGGTGCGAGAAACCAGCTGAAGATTGCTTGTATAACACAAAGTCGCAGGCTGGCTGTCCAAGGATCTGGTCGCAAGAAGCGCCGTTGGCTGTACGGGGGAGCCAGAGCCCCGGGACCCCACCTCTCGGCTTGTCCCACTTGAAGACGCCGAAGTCCGGCTGGAAACAACATCAAGAGACGGCACCTTGCAGTTCGGTTTTAATAGCTTGGCTTCTTCGACGTCGTCTTCGCATGGGGACCAGCTGAGTTAGCATTCTGGGAAGTCGATCTTTCTGTCAACCAGACCACAGGTTATCATGGCATCGACGTTCCTCCCGCTCCCTGCAGTTTCTTAAGTGAACCGTTGGCTGATTAGTTTCTGTTGTGGAGGGTGGTTCCGAATGGAAGTTGGACGCCCGAGGAGATTGCACTCAGTTGAATATGCACGTTCAAAGTGGGTTTTATATAAAGATAGCCTTTATAAGCGAAGGGAGAATTGCTGCATCCCAAATGCGTAATTATACTTGTACTTTCTTGGCGCAGTCGAGACTCCAAACGTGGGAATCAGAGATCAAGACCACATTGAATATGGACTCGACGTGTTTGGACTTTTGGGAAATATGAACCTCTTTTCGTGGTCGGACAAACGCCGGAGGAGCCCTTTCCGCCCCAAATAGCTTGAGGCGTCAGTCTAAAACACTGTCAGCTCCTCCAACTGCTAATAAAAGCAGGCATGCTGTGCGCCCTTGCAGGGCTTTCTTGTATGTGACCTTTCCAAGTTTGGAGAGTTATGAAATGTTTCTAGGGCAGTACTAATAGTTATGAGGAAACGACTGTTTCCAGCATCCACAATACCTACATGTATTCGAGATTCTGGTACAAATATTGAAGTTTCTAACGCAAATGCAGTTTCGAATTATGGTTACGAGTGGGTGCTCACCCCTTCTTCAAGCAGCACGATCAGTTTGGTTTGAGGTTGCGTGGCGTTGTAGACGCTAGTTATGGTGTGACGATATACAATGTGCCGCTATCCGTTTACCACAACAAACAATGCCGCCACAATAGAGTCCATGTTACCTGGTCAACACACAGATACTAGCAAAAGTCAAGGTCAAAGCGGTTTCAAGAACATTGGTAGAACTGCTAAATCATATAGACATGGGCCGAATACCACCGAAATCATCATTTTCTGTTGGCTCTCAGTGCTGTCGCCCATCGTATGTTTCCCCTCAGTTGTTCCTGTCGCCAGCTCTTTGATCTAATCTGCTTACGAATTGTATTCCAGCAATAGAAAGGCAATGGAGGATACTAAGAGTGCGGCCGTTTCTGTCCCTGCTACGGCTGGAATTTCGGAGCAGGTTACAACTCCACTGCCCATAACCCCGTCAAATCTCACTATTATTAAATCGCGACGACCTCCCCGCATTACGCAGGCTAAGAAAGCCCGCGAACTGGTACGGCTAGCTATCATCAGACTAAGAGTACTCATAACCGAGAGAAACAGCACCAGTAAGCCAATCTCACGAACAGGGCTCTTCGCCTACAACTACGTTGAGCCCTTATTTAACTGGTGGGGCGCAAACTCCCGCGTTCTTATCACTCAGTGTCTCGGCCGAGTCGAAGCGCACGATGCCTTCGGATCGGTAAGCAAACTTGTGAATGGAGCATCTTACAATTACGCCGGCTTCTACCAGACCACGCCGGAGGTCGAGGAGCTCCAACGGATGTGCCTGGAGTTGTTGCCGGTTTCTGACAGCACCGCTGTACCCCTCCTCCGAGACGAGACTCACCGCGCGATTGCTAGATTTCTGGGCGCAGACTTTTGTTTTACGACGGGCACTGGATATGGGTCGAATTACATTGCGCTGCCAGCCTTGATTGACGGTCCCACAGTCGTCATCATGGATGAGGACTGCCATAACTCGATGCTCACTGGAGTCTTCCTCGGACCATCTTCCAGCCTGAAAAAGTTCAAACACAAGAATATGGAGCAACTTGCGATATTGCTTAGCGGCTGTGTTGATAATACTGTCAGTATAATTGTCGCCATTGAGGGACTGTATAGGTTAGTACCCCATTCTTCTACCGCAGAGACTTTGCGTATGCCTGTTTCTGACCAAACTTTTATACAAAAGCACGCACGGAGACGTTCCGCCGCTGGCCGAGATCTATCGCTTGAAAAAACAGTACAAGTTCGTTCTGTATTGCAACGAGGCACATTCTTTCCTATCTCTCGGCAAAACGGGCCGTGGATGCCTCGAATATTGGAACGATAGCCACCCGGAAAAGCCTTTGCCATGGGATCTAATCGATATCCGGACCGGCAGCCTTTCAACAGCTGTTGGTAGTATTGGAGGCATAATTGCGGGCAAGAAAGTTTTCGAAAAGGCGGTGCTGAAACGCATCAGCAACCTGGACGACAAGAACATCGTCTCCTTGCCGAGTTCTACAATGGCACAAACGCTTTGGCTACTGGGTCAGCCAAATCAAATCAAGCGCAAACTTTATCGGCTTACTGAAATCACGCGCTTCTGTCGCAAAGAGCTAGGACGTTTCGGCATCTTTGTCTACGGTGACGCTGGCATCCATGTTCTTCCAGTTTATACTGGCAGGCCGACCGTTGCTGCGAAGCTGTCGTACGCATTGCGCCGTCGTGGATTGCTGGCTACTCCTGTGTGCACTCCTGCTGTACCATTCTGGGAGAGCAGGGTTCGTATCAACTTGTCGGCAGACTTCACTGATGAGGAGGTAAATCAGCTTGTCCATGCTGTCATCCAAGCTGCCGCCCACGCAGGCTTTTGTAAGACAGCTGGAATCGCCCGAACTTCTTTTAAGAATGATGTCCATTCTTTCTTGACTGTAGAAGGTTTCGATGAAGCACCAAAAGTCGCCAAGCATATTCAGCATCTTATCAAGAGGGATGCTACGGGAAGCTCAGCCAGTCGGAAGAGGCAACTTTTTGACAAAACCTGCGGCCCGCGGATAATTCAGGCCGGACATACTTCTCGGGCCCAGTATGGAATTGGGGCTGGAGGTACAAGATTGACCTGTGGCACGTTCCCACCCCATCTCTCAGTCGAAAGCCTCATTGCTCAGGCGACAGGTATGGAAGCTGGACTGACCTATCCGGACGCATCCATTGGACTTGCTTCCACGATTGCAGCCATTTCACGTCCCTTATTGGGGCACGGCAAGAACTACATGCTCTTCGAACGCGGCGTGTCTCAGTTCGTCTGCGATGGACTTACGATGGCACCGAAAAAGGATGCCCCAGCATTGCTTGGTTATGTCGACCTGTTCCAGCTTGCCAATCAGGTCAGAAAGCTCGTTCGAGGAATTAAAAAACTGTGCATGACAGTATACGTCCGCGTGGGAGAAGATTCACCGCACGATCTATTGTCGGCCACGCTTGCGGAGGTGGCTGCTCTTGTGGGCCCCGAGTCTGTCATGACAATCTTACTTCACTGTACCTCCCAGTCTCTGGACCCAAGAGAGCTCATTCTTTTGCCCTCCAGGAAGAACGTCCATATTCTTGTGTGCGGGTCGTTTGATCGCATATTTGGTTTGCCCACGGGTTTTGTTACCGGCACAGAGAGTTTGATCCGAGAACTTCGGTACACAAGTCGGGGTTACACGTTTACCACATCTCCGCCACCTTTCATCATGGATATGTTACGCGCTGCTCTGGAGCAGGACTTAACTATTAATGAATAGATAAGAATGTTGTACGACTTGATTGTCATTGTGCATCAAGAAGCCAAGAGTGCTGTGCTATCGGATTGAACATTCTTATCTGAACCAAAGCCTAGCTGCGTCGTGACTTTGTCAATCACATCGGGTTTTGGGGATAGGGTTCTGCAGAGAGAATGTTCCAAAACAACCTATTTGGACAACTAGACCAAGTAGAAAGGAAGAACCAGCTATCTCTTGATCTTAGAGCTTGAAATATATATGCTTGCCCGGTCTTGAGTGTGTCTGGTGGAATTGAGATAACTTGTCCGTTTGATCTCTAGCCTTGATGCTGTGCTGAAATCATAAGAGCTTCCTCAGTGAATGATCATGTTCATGGGTTCTTCTTTCCGAACATAATTTTTATTGCGCTTGCATCAGCATTCCGATGGGGCTTGGCCGAAGGCCATGACTATCAATCTTTTCTCAAAGCATGATCGAGGCGCCAAGATAAAATCAGCCTTAGGCACCGTGAGTCAGGCCTTTTCAACATTGAAGGAGTTATTATCATTGTAAAAAGAGGGACAAAGTTTTACTTTCAGCAACGTATACTTGAAGCTAGAAGTGCCAAGGCTGGTTATTCAAGATTTGTCTCCCACTTGACCTGAACGCCCTTTTAAACCAGGCTAGAAGTACTAACAATCACCAGCCGGCGGGCAGTTTGTGTATAGAATGAGCCCCGATGATGTTGTGGCAAAGGCTTTCCGGCTAGTCAGAGTCTATTCAAATCTGGACGAGGTCCGTTGTCACCATTATCAAAGACATGGTAGCAAATGTGCTAGGAAAATACATCTTTGAGAACAACAATTCCTCATTCGCCGGTCTTGCAGCCATCCTGAGCCTTTTTTTACAGGCACCTGGGTCTTAGACCCTAACAGGGACGTGGTCGTGATATCGTATTCCTGTTACCCCTCCCCTCAACCAACAGACATTCCTAGCTCACAATGCGCAATCATCCGGGCTCTCGGGTTCATATTGGACGCTGAGGGAGTTAAGCTGCCCATAAGATCCGTTTTCCCACTTTCTGCCCGTTCTTTCTCACTACCCAATCTTTCAATTAGTCTTCCGCTAGTTCTGGCCACCCGCTAGCTTTCCTCCTGAACTTTGAATAGACCTTTGCCTCTCAATAGGCTGTTCGTCGAGGCTCTTCCACATGCCGGATTTCTACCGGGTCATTGGCCCAGATGCCTGTATTATGGCTTTGAGTAGATGTAGCAACCCATCACAATGTCTTGGGAATGACGCTCGGCATCAAGCACCGCTATCATAGTCTTCTTTATAATTTACTTTGATTTGCTTTAAAAGCACATGTCATAGAATCCTGGTGTCCCATGTGGAAATCTCAATGTATAGATGCTGGTCTGTGATAACTCTCTTGTACCCCTGAAATGCATTAATATTGAGCCTGACAAAGAGAATATCCCTTATATAAGATTTCCATAGCTTATTACTAAGATTTAGTGATCAAAAACTTGGTGCTAAGTTGATGTCGCTATATCCGAGGAGTTGCCCGAGGACCAGTGTTTCGTCTCTCAAGAGCCCCATGTGGAGTGGTGGTGCTGAGTTTTGGAGATATCTCCCAGGTAGCATGTTGTCTCTTGTGGGCGAGGATCTAGGCCCAAAGGGACAGAAGTAGAGGTGGAGAAATCGTTTCTGAGGCAAACAAGGGAGGGCATGAGTGATGCACCACAGTGCGATGGTGTGAGGCGATGACGGTCAGGATGTGGCCAGCAGATATGTCAACTAAGAGACATTGAGTCGGGGGGAACTTAATGCTCTAGGACTTTGTTTTATGCTCTAAGAAAGCATCAATATTCTATGAAAAGTCGATATGAAGGGGGGGGAAGCAAAGCCTCTTTAAAAGAGGGGTGACTATGCGTTTGAATCAATGGTCTTTTTAGAAGATTAAAGAAGTTTCTATCTGGAGATCGGAGAATACCATTAGCACTGTTAAAGAGACACTCGTATATCCAAAGCCAACGCGCGTCCAGGTTCGTTTTCTTGCGTAAACAACGCTGGCAGTCAAGTAAAGTTTTCCTAAGTTTCGGAGCCTAGCACTTGGAGACCTACTAACCCGCCCTGCCGGACATTCGCGGACCGCGGACCGCCAGGGCCCTGCCTAGCGATTGACTTTGAAAGCGCATGCTGCGGTACTGCGGGCGGAGGACTACAGGAATTCCACAGAGCGAAAGCACGGAGCCCGGGAAATGGGATTTGACCGATGAATATCGCGGGGGCATTGGGCCAACGTATTTGGTGCCATGATGCGCGATCGACTCAAGATTCGTCTATAACGTTAGAGGACGCGTACGTGGCGGGTAAAACTCTACTCTTTTCTACGGGAGTCTAATGGCTGCATTATGCAAAGTACGAAAACCATGTTTGGCAGAAGTCAAATTCGAGGCCAGCAGTCAGACCATTTCGGGAGAACCATGGCATTATCAGGCGGAATTATAGGTGTCGCGCTTCGGCCGTGCTGCGGCCGTGCCGATGAGGCTTGCATCAAGCCTTTCGATTGCATGCGGTTCTCCAAGCCGGTCCAAATGACCATGCCGCGCAAGAAGGCATCTTTGGCGACAGCGCAATTTTCCCAAGCGAGAAATGAATCCAATGCCGAAGCCTCGGGGTTCCTCTCTCAGTCGGTCGGTGGACGATAGGGTGGAAAAGATCACCAGGAGGGCGACAAGGCGGACCCTTGCTCGATGATCAACGGCTTCCCGTCGTCCATTACCGCCCCATCGGGATCGCCAGGAGCCCCCCCCCCCGCCATCATTCTCTCGTGTGAAAAAAGTTATTTTTTTTTGCCTACGAAGCCACCTGCTGGTACGTGAACGTACCGCAGCCGCACCGAATCTGGACGGTTATCTTTTGAAGCTTCTAGGAGGGGCTATGCCGACATATCGGGTGAGGAGGCCCCTTTGAGACTAGTGCGGCAACCCTAGAGCTGCCGGCCGAGTGTATCTGGCCGGCCAGACGCGCAACGGCAACCGGGTTCAGTACTCTCTGTACCGAAGCTGTCCACTTCATTGTTCATTCGTCGCATCTTTCCTCTTTCCTCACAGGGTAGTCGCTGGTACGTGCCAGCCCTGCATCTTCAAACTCAATCAACTCCGATTCCCCATCATGCTGGCGGTAGTTAGGGACAGCCCCCAAAGGCATCCCGCCCGACTCATAGGGCTATCCCTCAGATGGCGTAATCCTCTTGTATAGACTTGGATCGCATAAGAGTGAATGAAGAGGAGAAAGCTTACAAGTAGAAAGCTTATCTCCGCCTCCGGTCTTAGCTGATCGCCGTGCCCGCCGGGAGGAAGATTCTCGGGGCTTCGTCCAAACTTGCTACTGGTAGACGCGCGCTTCGCGAACGGCAAGGTGCCCAGGACGTACTTGCAGTCGTCACATATACCCGAGCGTCCGGCAGTCGGGTCGTCGAGTTACCAATGCCTTCCTCTCCTCTCCTAGGACGCCCGGCCGGAAACTCTCGTGCTCGTCGTCACAACTTTAAGCGGTGGAGACATCAGGCTGCCGGCGACGGCACGGGGCCGAGGTGGCGATGTTGCCACTCAACCAGGCCGAAGCAAGTCGGCCAAGCCCATTGGCTGTGCATGATAGCCGCAACGATACTTCTCCTCAACAGCCCAAAGGTTAAATTGTGTAAGTCCAAAGAGTAACCATGGGAATGGGCTCCAAAGTCGAGCTCGAGGAGTACAAAAGGGGACTGATAACTCCCTTTCCAACGGACCATTATTCCCAGGAGAAGCAAACAAGTAAGGTCATCTGTGCAGATCTTCAAGCCACACTTCATCACTATCTTGTTCATCATCTCACAAGAAATCACTCTCTCTCCCTCCATAAGTACATCATGGTTTCCATCAAGAGCCTCCTCATCGCCACCCTCGTCTCGAGCATCGTTGCAACACCAATCGAAAGCTTCGATCCACCAGAGAATGATCTCGAGTTCGTCAACAAAGTACCCGTCATTGAATCCAGAGGTAATGGTGGCGGGTCCGGCGCCAGCGGCGCCGCAAGTTGCGACTACAACACGAAGCAGAGGCTTGATTCGGAGATTCAGAACAGATACCAACTCAAGAGTCGCCTCGACGACGAGATCCAGAGACGTCAGGGAATTAAACAGCAGCTTGACAATCAGATAAACCAGAGACAAGGGCAGCTTGGGCACTGTTGATTTACACCGGCTAAGGCGTGAAAATGGACGTGGGGGTTAGGAGATATCCACAATTCACCTTCCTTTTGGCGAATTATGATTTGGGGCACGTGAATTGGAGAATGAATCTACTACTGGGGCCGTACAGCAGACATCAAAGGGCAAAAGATGCTGTGGAGTACCAGAAAAAATATACGAAGACATTCCCTGAATTGTCTATGCCTGGTAGCACATGCTATGAATGTTTGACTTAAATACAAACCAGTTCCCGTCCAGGACTGGTTATAAGTATCTAATTGCACGTTAGCGGGGGGCGGACCCGGCACAGCGAGTCGAACTCCATCTGTGAGAAGGTGGCTCAACTTTTGGATTGTGTATGTGTGATGAACCGCAGCGTCTAGTCATTTGAGAATAAAGTAGTTATTCTATTGAGAAACTATCTGAGAACCGGAGAATGGGTAGAAATACCTATTCGAGACCGTCGGTGGTACGCCACATCTGAAGTCGCGGTCACTGATACTAGCCACACGAAGCTATTCCAGCTTCACGACATGATGCTACGATGAAGACGAAGAGGAACACGGCAGTATGCGACCTGCGCAAGAATGCATGGCAACCCTAACTTCCTTGAACCCTGGAACCAGTCTATATGAGAGATAATGGGCCGATATCATCCATATTCTATGAGGGACAATGCGGCCTTCATCCCCAGCCCTGAACCCGCTTTCCTTTACCCTTTCTGTATCTATAACAGACCTCAGGGATGAGTTCTTAAATCTTGCCGCCACACGTGTCGGTAAAGGGGGACGCACCACGGCGGAGGGAGTCCAACTGGCATGATGACTTCGCCAAGCAAAAGCATATGAAAGGCGGTACAGATGTGTAAAACGCTTGTCCATCGTTGTTCATTTACAACTCCCCTACAGCTGTCGTACACGAGCTGGCCGACTCTACGTCTGCTTGCTGGAGGCGCCCTCCTGTTTCATACCGTCACACCCGAGGGCGTTGCCTGCCACTTCCTCGACTTTGCCGTGCCCCTGAGTCGTGGGATCGCGCTGCTGGCTGGCGGTCTTCATTGTCGACGCGGCGTGCGCCTTGTCCTGCTCGCCGGACGAGGTCCAGGCATGAGAACCGGTGACGCTACCGATGGCGGCCTATTTGTTTTCGCACTTGGTGTCAGCTATTCTCTGTGACTCATTTCCCCAAATGCCGGAATGAGACTTTAAAGGGGATGGGATTTGACTCGAACTGTACCTCGGCAGCGCCCTTAACGTACTCGGCGTGGCCGGCGACAAGGCCGGGTTGTTGGTTGTTAGTGTTCTGGGAGGACATGATGAGTGGTTTGGTGTGGTGAAGGTTATTTAGTAGATGTGGTTTGAACCGATCTGTATTATAACTGTGAATCTTTGAATGGTATTCGATGGGTGTTCTTAAAGGAACACGATGGTAATGTATGGATACAGAGGTTGCTGTGATCCTCATGACGTCAAGGATCGCCGACGTCATTACGCTGTGGCTGCATCACATGATTCTCCCGCCAAGACGTAAGGCCTTTGCAGTCCGTGGCAACCGCCATAGTTGAAAAAAGATACACGCGAATTCGGTGGTTTAATAAAAAAAAAAGGTGGCTTGGTGGATGTTCATCCTGACGGCAGGGGCTTGGTTGATATATGCATCAAAATAGACACGATTCATGAAGCTGCTTCAATTATGATTTATTGATCAATGGTATTGTCGGAGTATCACAAATTCGGAATGGCGTCAGCTCCTGAGCCTCGTATTGCACAAACACTAAACTTCAACCCTCTCTGTGTGGAATGCGTCGAAATCCGACTTCTTCCCCTCGGCATCAGCGACGCGGTCCTCGAAGCGCACACCAGCGCTCTTGGTGCGCCAGGCGGGGACATTGGCGTCAAAAAGCTCGTCAATTTCCTCGAGGGTTTTGCCGGATGTCTCGGGGTATGTTAAGAAGATGTGTACGGTCATGGCAGCGCAGAAGGTGCCGAAGATCATGTACGTCTTCCACTGGATGTTGGTGAAGGCGGGCGGGACGAAGAAGGCGAGGGCGAGATTGAAGGCCCAGTTGCAGGCCGCAGCAAAACCAACACCAGTGGCGCGATATTTAAGAGGGAAGACCTCTGAGGCGTAGATCCAGCCGATCGGGGCCCAGGTAAGGCTGCAGAAAGTTAACTGTGTGGTCTTCATGGTAAAGGGGTGTGAGAGCATTGCAACAACTTACCCGTAGATACCCACGAAGATGTAACAAAGGGCGATGACACCTTTGGCGGGAGGACCAGAGATGACCCACCTAAGGTTATCGTCACCGTCTACACTGTCGACGGGATTGCCGTGCACCTTCATGACGGCGCCAGTGGTGAAATGGATTACACAGCAGATGATGGCACCGCCGATGAGAAGAGGACGGCGGCCGAGTCGGTCAATGATGGGCAGTATGGCTCCAGTCGTAACGAGGAAGATGACGTATTGAATGATGGACGATGTCAGGGCAACATTGCCAGTCTGCCAAGCCGGTGTTAGTTTTGCGCACCGATGTGATTGAATCATGGGGAAGAAGCAGCTCACCATGCCAGCCATGTTAAAAATATATATGAGGTAGTAGAGCATCACGTTGCCTCCGAGAAGTTGTTGCCAGACCTGTACACTGCACCCGGCCAAGGTGCGTTTCCAGACACGGGGACCGAAGAGGCCCAGAACACCAATATTCTTGGACTCGGCAGCAATGCGGGCGGCCTCCTTGACCTCGTCAAGTTCAGCGAGAACAACGGGGGCACCGTGGTCACCGCCGGCGTGCAGATGAGCCAGAACATCGTGGCACTCTTCCCAGCGATCCTTCTGCCCCAACCAACGAGGGGACTCGGGGAAGAAGAAAAGAGCAGCGCCAAGAATGAGACCAGGAATTCCCTGGACACCCCATGCTATACGGAATGCACTAGGGCCATCCATGGTGACGACACATCCATACGAGACAAGGTACATGATGAGGATACCCCATTCGATGGACCACTGTTGGATACCGACGATGCGACCACGAATGCGGGAGGGCGCGAGCTCTGCGAGATAGACGCAGCATTGAGAACTCGTGATACCGATGGCAAGACCACTGACGACTCGGCCTGCGATGAGATGGGGGACGTTCCGAGAAGAGCACTGGAGGATGGCACCGAGGATCCAGATGGCGGAGGCGAGCTTCAAGGCGCCGCGGCGGCCCCACCAATCGGCAAGGAAACCCGCTATCAGGGCGCCAACCAGGGAGCCGCCGGACATGGCGGCGGTGATGCCGCCCTGCAGGGTCGAGCTTGGATGGTTGAAATACTCCTTGTAGGAATCGGCACCGATCCAAGCACTCATGGAACTAATATCGAAGCCAAAGAGCATACCGCCAATGGTGCCAAAGGCGGCAAGAGCTGGGCAAGACTGGTCAGCGGCAAAGATGGGTGATAATGTAGCCCCCTGGCAGAAATGAATGAGCTAGGGCTGGGTTGCATACCGTAGATGTTGTAGATGCGAAACATGGTGGGACTTGCAAAGAGCGGGACACCACGTTGCTACAATGAAGCTGAAGTCGACTCCACGAGGAGGGATGAGTCAATATGGGCGAAGGGGGAGGCGGAGGGCTATATAGGTGAATGAAACCGTCTGCATGGCCCTGCCCCGTCGCAAACATGCGGTTGACTGATGACCATCAGCAAGACATGGCTGTGGAAGGGTGAGGAAACATCGAAGGGAGCCCAAGCCCATGCTCGCTCAATGAAGGCGAGTGGTTGGACAGATGGTGGAGTCGAAAGTCATTGTTGCGCCTTTGGGTAGAGGGCATTTAGGCGTGACCCAAGTCGTCCAAGGCAAGGCTGCACCTGCCGGTAGTGGAAGACTGCAAAGGTTCGCAGTAGCCGACGTCTCGAGTTAAGCGCACGTATGGGAAGGCGAGAAAGTTGACGGCGCTGGAGCAGCGACGTCATCTGAGGGCGAGAGGCCAATGCCATGGTGTTTGCCGTCTGGGGGTGGACAAGGCGGGAAGATGATAAACGATAAAGTCGTCCCTCGCCCGGCACGGCATGGATTGATGTGCCGTGTTTGGTTGGATGAGGAGGGAGAACACGGGGCCGATGGCCGGGAGAGAGACGCCGTGGGGCGTGAGGGGAAGTCCGGGGGTGAATGAAGGGGGGAAATGGGGGAAGACAGTTGGGGAGAATTGGGGGTACGAAGTACGTATCTGCCGCTTAGATAAAGGAAGGAAGGAACATCTCGGGTGCCATTGTGACTTTCTGTTTGGGTAAGAGAAGCTGAAAGAAGGCAAGGGGGAAGGAGCAGAGGGGGCAGCGGCCTCTATGCCGGATCCAGTCACGAATTTAGTTAGAACACTGGCATCCTGCGGTAGGACATTGCACTGTAGTATCTGCTTCTTCGTTGAATATGGACATACAATGTACGATATGGAATAAGAGTGGGGTAAAGGCAGAGAAAGTTGCGGTCAATCAGGCGAGCCGCAAAGAAGATGGATGAGTTGGGAGGGGAACTGGCGTGCGTCGTTTTGTGTCGTTTTTGCCTTGGGCAGATAGACACACACAGGTACGGATACAGGTACATCAGTACTCCGTACGCAGGTACAGTGTCATACAGTGCCTCAGGTACCCACCTCATTGCATTCACGTAATGTAATTCGTATGTACCTGGGGCTCTACGATGTACGATTACCTACTCGATCGACGTCATTCCCTGCCTGAACCGGAAAGACACCGAAAATTGTATGGTCTACCTTCCCGGTGAACCTGGTTCGTACCTACGGAAAGAAGGGCCGCGAACGGGACATGCCGAGACACGAAGGAACTCCCTCATCACCTATGCCGCCCCAAAGCAGCCACTTGCTTTGACGTCCAATACTCAGTCAATCACGACAAGCAATCCCGGGGCAGTTTTGTCGTTTCTCATGGACACTGAGTGAGTGTATGGACACGTCCTGGAGGCTTGTGATTCCATGCACATAGCATCCTCAACAAGACAATTACGGTCTGTATTCACCATCGCCCTGGTTACCAGTGGCGTATGGCACCCATCAGAGAGATGTCCTTGGTGATCTGACCTGATCCCGCAGTTTAGGGATAGTCACGATGGAAAAACAGACATGCCATCTGCTTGTCATTTCCTTGGACCATGCCTCATCTACACTGATCGAATGTGGCTAAC